TTATGTTATATGCGAGTTCATACTTTCACACTCGGATTAGGATCCGTAAACTTCGAGTCATTCGTTAAGCACCGATTCCGGAATTAATTTTATTAACATTCAAATTGCTTGATTTCGAAATGACATTTTCTGCTTTTAAACAGGAATATTTCAAAGTGAATATATACCCATTGAACTATTAAACAACTAAACTCAATCAATACCAACCAGTACACCTCGCCTTAAAAATACTAACCCCATATTTATTTCTACATTTGAATCATCCCAAAACAACAAACACGATGCCAAGAAAAAGGTTAGCATAATCCAACGCACTAACTCATGCCGCAAAATAGAAACAGGAATTGACGAATATTCTGCAACCTTTCGCACGAAACCACCTTATATGTGACGTCATAAAAACCTATACCCAGCCTGGCAAGGCTTCCATATTAGATGTTTTTTAGTTAAATCTATAACAGTGGTGCATAACCTTTGCTAGCCTGGCGAATCCCAATGTTACGGGAGATCCGATTTCTGGTTAGGACTGGTGATAGAAAATGCAACCGCCCTCAATTGACAGAGTATAAATTTGCTACTTTGTTACGCGTAGATCGAGTTGTTAGGGTTATATATAACAGAATGCAATATTAGTGGGCTATCAACCCCCAACGTTTTTAAAGTAAGGAAAGGAGAATATTATTAGAACCGGTATGGTCCCTGCAACTCGAAGTTGTCCAATCAGATATCGTTTCAGGTTGACATAGTTGACAAAAGACCATTCAGAATTGCAAAGAGTTTTTTGGACAAAGCGTGGCTCGCCATACTTTTCAACGCATCGCTAGAATGACCGTTCCATGTTTCCAGTGTATTTTCGTTGCCACTGTTTATTGTGAAGTCACACGATTATCTGTTACGTCCTAGTACCCACTATCTTATTTCCCGAACCGTTTCATCGGTTACTAAAAACACGCTGAAACACTTTTGATGAAATATTGACCGTTGAATTACTTGATTTATACCTATATTAACTAGCCTACATGGAACAAACATTTAGCGAATGAGAGTCAAAACAACGAGAACGAAAAAAAAAATGGAAATGTGTGAAAGCTTAATCACATGTGTTACCTCCCGTTCATTAAAGAGATGTGCATATTTATCCCGGGTAGGAGGAAAACCGATAAGACGGCTCAGGTAAATGGCAAAGCATTCTCAGTCCAAGTAAAATATGTCAGTTATCCGATCTAGATGTTCGGACCCAATAATGACAGAAACCATTCTTCTACGGCAAAATCCAACAATTTTGCTGCATAATAATCCATCGCACATCATGTTAGATCAAACAACCAAATCTTTCGAGTAATTATTCTTTTTGTCCACAATGTTACATTAAAGTGATTTACACCTAAATTAATTTATAAAGACTTGCTTATCCTGTCCATCTTTGTTGAGTTCATACTATCTATATTTACTGCCTTTTAGTCAGCGTGATTGATTGATATTCACTAATTTTACATCGGTACTTATGATATCATAATAAAAAGAGACATTTCATACGATGTCGAATGTTAACAAATCTTCGGAACGCTTCCCGTATTTCGGCTCTTGAACAAAGCTGCAGATGCCACAGTGACACTGTAAAATGAAACCATATAGACCTAACTGCATAAAATTATGGTGTTATTATATTAGGTTGTTAGGAAGAGTTTGGATAGCCCTACTCAAGATATATCGTGCGTGGACATTGAGCGCTGAATCGTTCCTATCAGTATTTAGAGAACAACATACAGGAACATGCTAAGTGGGGGGAAGGTATAGTTCGAAAATAGGAAAATGGGTAATATTGCATCAAAAGGACTGAAGACCACCGCTTAGCACTACTGCTATATAAAACAAATAGTAATATTGCTGGTGGGGTTAGTGATGAATGAAAAGATGATTTTTTTTTTTCAAATTTCATCATTGCATTCGATGTTGTTGAATGCGAAAAGATCTGGGTTGGAATTCCAATTAATAATAGAAACTCAATACTGATACAGCTGTGTTCAGTAACAAAATATTCTACATAACTTAATCCAAGATAAGATAACATATTTATAAATACTTCTCATGCTGCAATTTCATTTATATCACTTCCTACGAGAGTTACCCGTATAGTTCTGCAAATTTGCTTCAGCTTCTGCACACTAATACCATTGATAGAAGCAAGAAGTTGTGTCCTTGATTGTCTGATAAATTACTTTCTTATTTTTGCAATATTGAATTCGCAGAAATAGAATGCAGTTTGCAGATAAATGCAGAATAGAACTAAATATTCATCCGTGCAGCAGAGGTATAAACAGATACACGTGTTGTGTTGTTTACCTATTTTATTACCCAATTAATCATGATTTCTAATTATAATTGTTACTCCGCTTTGTTTACTTTGTGTTTAACCAGCACTAATGTTTTTGTATGGTCTCGTCTTCGGTGCAAATCTCAGGGCTAAACTCTAAGGTAGTATTATAGCCTACATGTCATGTGCAACCGTACAGCTATCTCATGTACAGCATAAAATATCAGGTTAATACAATGCGAAGCTTTTTACACTCTTTGCAGTCACAAGCGTAGATGTAGGTTCTCAAAGTGCATTTTTGTAGTTTATGATTCGACTAGTTTCCTATTTAACCTATATCATGAGGGAATCTTTTGTACCTTGAATATGTCTGATTTTTATTCGTAGCGAGAATGGTTGGCGCTAAGTGATATCAGTAAGTCATTTGGTCCCATAGAAGAAGATATTTATATCTGGTGTGACGATGTTACTTATTAATAAAGTTCTTTCAATGTTTCCTTTCATATTCAGATTAAAAAAAGGAATAAAAAAGATCATTTGTAGGAAAGTTTTATGTTACATAAAACGACGACTACTGCACGCAATAGATTTGAAAAATAAATTTAAATATTTTGCGTTTTTGTTGTATAAATTCAGATATTGAGGTATTTATAAACTAATAAGTTTTTCATATTTTTCATGAAACTTGTTGAATTGAAAGTGTGAGCTTTACTTCAATTAGATATGACTTTCAACTTTCTCAACCATACAGTATACTTTGGGTAAAACTGAAAAATAGTTTGTAAATTTGTAACAGTTTGTAAGTGCAATAACCACATGGTATCGACTATCGATGATATTCAATTTTATAGAATATAAGTGATAATTTTAGAAGGCGCTAAAGAAACAAGACTTTTGGGAGTACGATTTATATAGCAAATAACTTTCGTTTTTTTCAGGCCGGAACAAAAGCTGATGGATTCGTGAAGAATTCTCGGTATAGTATAAGGAAGAACTAAATATACAGTATATAAGTAGGAAAAATAAATGGTATTTATATAAAAATATTGAATTAAATAACGCAAAATCAAACACAAAAGACATTAAATAATACCAAAAACAGGTGCCATTTCTACGTTTTACCCCCTTGTAGCCACTGACTCTGTAAATACGTAATATAAATTCCAGCTTTTTATATAATTTAGTCCTAGTTTTGTTAACTACATATGGGTTACTAGAGTCTAATAAACCGAACGACAATATTTTCACCTTCGCAACATAGATTTCAATAAATACGAATTATACGAGAATTGAAAACAATTAAGTTAATACTATTACAGCAAAAATAAACTAGAATTTAATATAGTTTGACTTCGTTTAGGTAGATTTTTTAGGGAACGTATTCCACCAGAATGGAGCATCAATCAAATGAAGAAGATATCGCTTGCTAAATTACAACTGCATTTATTTATATACTATTTCGAAATATCGATCCAAATGTCAGAGGAAAGATTTTTTCAGTAACGTAAAATTTTTTCTGTAGGTATTCCAATCAGCTAGATTGTAGCGAATTGTAGACTTATGCTCTTAGCAGGCAAACAAATAGTTCAACCCATTTTTTCTTAGCGACTATAAATTTGATTTCATTCTGCCAATGCTGCATGTTAACATTTAATAAATTTACTAACGAAGAGAAGTAAAAGACACGAAAGTTTGGAAGAAGACAAAAATAACAAACAATATGTGAGTAATACGAATTTAATTTGCTGTTTGCAGCTTTTGTTTTGTTTCACTTGAAGCTATGAAATGCTTGCTTTAGTCTTCATTAAACTCAATTACTTTTACACATACATACAAATCAAAATTTGGAATGGTGGACATCTTGGCGTTTTGGATTTAATATGAAGTCTGGTGGGAAGCATTTGTGCAATCAGCTGATGCGGTTTCGTAAAATTTGGTAATTTTGTTTAGTATTTGGAAACCACATCGGGAAACCACAGAGAATAGCAATGTGTACATAATACTGTTGAACATTGCGGTATAAATCCTACAGATCAGCAAATTTAACTCACTCGACAAGTATATTTTTTATTCTCCACATTCCTGGGTTCAATACATATCTACCGGTAACGCAGCGATAGTTCAACCTAACTTGATTAAAACTCACTAAAATGTTTTTAAAACTTACGATTGACTGAATTTTGAAGTCACACAAAATACCAGTACCAAATTTGAAAACGTTGATGAACTCTTAGGGCCTGTTAAGTCTGCTTCAATGTGAATCTAGTTACACCAGATTTTACATCAGAGAGTCGAAAGTTTAGGCTTAAAGGAGCGCACTTCGTTTTTTGTTTTTGTTTTCGTGTTACTTTAAAATTCAGTTGATTGTAACGAACATTTTATCCGGTGTCAATCAAAGTAGATTGGCCGCCTCTGCTTTACCGGAAGAAATGTATTGAGCCCAGTAAGTAATTCCGAAATCAGTGCCAGACGTATATGATTCGAAATTTGTGGATCACAATTCTAGTCTAAAAATATAAACTCGCATGCTAAATAAACTTCAGCATCTCAAAAATTTGTGAAACGCTGTTAACAACCAAACTAGCTGAACAGCTAAATTGTACAAATATATCGATTCAAAATCAAACAGAAAACATCATTGTATGCTATTTATTAATAATAATATATTACAGTTTGTCAATGGTAATGCACAATATAAGTTCGTCAAAAAAAATTAAATCTGTGTATATATAGTTAATTTTTTTTTTCTGTAGCTTTACAATGCTTGCCAATAATGCTTTGAATCTAACGTCATGTTTACAATATAAACGTTATGTACGTAATTGATTCTAAAAGAAAAACATCTTTTGAATTGAAAAATATGTTGACGTCCACTGGCAGTCGCTATTTTTTCACTCGGACAAATCGCATGAGTAGGTCTTGCTATCCTCTGGTAGTCCATGCTCAGTCAGCCACTTGTAATACCCTTGTACACGGGTGTATATACCCCAATAATTTGCTCGATTGCACCCATACCCGCCACTGGTTATGCCAGCCAAGTACCAATCACAATTGTTGCAGCGCTGACAAACCAAAGGACCCCCACTATCTCCCTAAAATGGATAAATAGGAACAGATTAAAAAATGAATAATAGTGACTATCAGTCCAAAATAATCTTTACTTTTCAATGAACTGCGAAGAAAGACAGATATAAAGATGAATAAAGAACATCTCTTAAAAAATTATAGAACAAAATAAGTAATAAGTGTGTTACATGACAGGCGTCAACGCCTCCTCCAAGTATCCCAGCGCAAAGCATGATATCGTCGTTGAAAGTACCGTGCTCATTCCGTTTATATTCTTTGTATTGTTTTCTACATTCCTCAGTTGACTGAATAAATACTGCTCCTTCTCTCAATCTAACGGGCTCTTTAGGTGCTCCTTCGTATTCTAAAAAATCCAAATATTTTCAATTCTTATTATCTTGCATAATTGGAAATTACAGTACGAAAACGAATCAAATTTGTTTACCATATTTTCTACACCTTTGTCAAATTATTTTTCAAGCAGCGTCTGATATTAAAGTCAATATAATGTTGTGTTTATCGTTAAGTTTCTACTAATATTACTACTGTATATATATTTTTTTCAGTTGAATCACTCATTTTACCGACCAATAAGTGGATAGAGTAATTCAGAGGTATTTTTGAAACTATTGGTCATAATTTAATGCTGTATGTAATATGAGAAGCAATGTGCTATATATTCATGCATACTCCATGTTTTTGTGTGTTTTATTCTGTCTAAGCTAGGACTAGGTTTATACTGATGGATATATATGAGATGCAATGAGAGCGTAGAACTTTGACATCGTGGTCTCTGACCTCGATGAAGACCTCGTTCACCTTGAATGAAATCTCATATACACTACACCCTTATCACGGTTGGGCCAAGCTGAAATTTATTCCTTTAAAACATTTCTTCTGTGGCTGATTTCAGCAAAATAGATGACGTATATAAAAAATTGAATAAAAATATAGCTCACCATCTCCCCAACCAGTCACAATGCATTTTTGTCCAACGAGAGGTTTTTCTCCTAAAGGCATCGAAATTGCCTGGATTGTATCCGTATATTTTACGGTATCTCTTAACTAAAACAATACATTCGAAAATGTAAGTTATTAACAAGATTGATGGTCAATAAATAACCTTCAAATGTGATGAAAAAGTTTGGACTTTCTCTGCAGTCACAATCTATGCAAATTTATTCATTTTCTACAAACACCACAATTTATCATTTCCTTATATACATTGGCCGACATATTGACAGAAAATTCAAAACCGCTAGCATTCTACATCTTATAACCATTGGAAAAATGAATTTGCGACTTTATCGTATAAGAATATTTTGTTTATTTGACACTACAAGCAAAAAATGATTTTTAATATAAAATAGCCACAAATGTACTGGATGAATGGGTTAAATAGAATATGCACTACGCTATAAAAACTGGCAACTCAAAGGTGGCTATCACAGAAAAACTGGTACTCCCGTAGTATGTGAACCAAGATGGCGGACACCGGAACGTAGTATTTGTACCAGGTTAGGGTTGGGACATAATTCCAGGTACAAATACTATGGGAGTCACTTGGCAACTATCTTCATGCAAGCCTCAACTTCATTTCTCGCCTCTCGAGTTAAAAATAAGAGTTGAATATAGAGACGTTAAGTACCTCACTTGGGAATATACTGTGAACACAATTTCAAGATCGAGTTTTCAGTAATATTTTATAATAATAACTGCTTGTTTCAAAACAGGGGCTTCTTTGAAATGTATATCGTTGTTTATTTTGTATTTTTATTCAAATATCACCCGCATCGCTGTGATACTATGGCCAATTGACTAGAAAAAAACATTTCCTTCGACTTCCACTCTTGTGGCATCGCTTTCTCACCAAGTTAGTACTTACATTAAAGTTCTGTTATACGATTTTAACATAATGTTTGTTTGAGATAATGGCGAAATGCTTTGAGTAAACAAGGTAAGGAAACTCACAAAACATAGCTCACGGGCCTGCAACACACAATCCAAAAGCAGTTGCTTCGGACGCGCCCTCACCACCCAATGCGAGACCAACTTAGCTCGGAGATAACGGTAGAAACCTACGAGGGTATTACTGGACTCCTCGGACGTCACAGTGTATTTCATGTAATAGAGTGTAGGCTACTGCTTTTTCCGCCAACGAAGTTTTTACATCTGCCTTCCTAGTTTTAACCAAGTTAGTACAAAATATTCAGATAAAACAGCTATTTTAAACAAAACGGGAAGAAAATATTTATGTGAAACAATTGTTTTAAAACGAATCTCTTTGTACAAATCCTTCGTTTTCGTTATACTACGTCATCGAAGGCCTTTTCCGAACCGCGGTCGATTTCAGTTGAAGCGGTTTTCAAAAGCTAGGTCGATTTTACATAAATATAGTAACCGTCAAGAATTCTGAAAAAATATACGAAATCAAAATTGTATGTGATAAACCACCTTTAAGCACCATAAAATCGGTAGAGAAGGAACTCAAGAAAAGTCGACGAAGTAGCGTTTATATAATAAATTCACGTACTGTTATTAAGCGAATGTCATGGTCATGTCCTGTGGCAGAGCTATCATAATTCTCATGCCCAACATTAGAGTCTACCTCCCACATTACAACATCGCCGTCGTAGGCGGAGTTTGTGCCGAGCAGTACTTTGACAGTCTCGCTCCTGTAAATTATATAAATGATTTTGCGACTAAAATCTACACTATTTGGGTTGTTTATTATGTGACAATCAAGACTCGGAAAAACACCAAATTTAAGTAAGCTATTTGAGATAACACATACGAATCCATGATATAACAAAATGAAGAAGTTTCAATCTGGCAGACATTGATCATAGTTTTGAATGCAAGAGAGCAACAATGAAATAAAGTTTCGATATTATATATTCAAACTTCTATTCGTCACCAAACAGCCAAACAGACTATAACACGGAAACTGCTAAACACGGAAATATACTCTTTTACAATACTGCGCCGTTTATACTCACAAGTCACAATGCGCCGCAGTGATGACGTGTCTATTGCTGACAAGCACTCCGCCGCAGAACCATTTGCCACTTGCAAATAATAGAGCCTGCATACAAAAGCAGTTGAAATAGAAATCTCTATTGGCCTACCTAGATTATACATTTATAACATAATATATTCTCATCCAATTTTACAATTCCTTTTACCATCGGAGTGAGTATTCATAAATATTTTGGGTGTGGGAAGAATTTTTAATTATGCGTGCCAAAAGTATTTTTACAGAGTGAATTCACAGAATGATCCATTTCCGTTCTTGACTAGAAGTCCTAATTAACCTGTATCTAATGAAAACAACAAGCCTAGTGTGTATTGGGAATAAACAATATGGGATAACTGCATTGGATAACATTGGAGAAAGTCGAATTTTGTCAGAAGCTAGTAAAGCACTAAAATATCAGTACCTGCCACGGCCATTTTCCGTCATCGGCTTCGTCACCGCCGACAATTTTAGTCGTTCCTGGTTGATCATAGCAACAACTGTCCTGGCCATAACGCAATTTATATCCAGTAGGACACTCCCCTGTGAGAACAAAAAGTAAAAAATTGTGTAAGCCATAAATACGTTTCAGAGAAGCAGTGCGAAAAAGCATTTCTGAACATTTGAAACAAAACAGCATGCATATCCCTTTTGGTTTATATTTAAAGATTTAATTCAGTACAAATATATAAATCATTTATTTCCGAATACTGTACGTAAATTCCGGCGGACGAATCAGACACACAACCAGAGCAAAAGCGCAAGCCTTTTTAATATTTTTAACTGTTACAAGTAAAAAGGTTATACTGATAAAAAGGCTATTGCTTATCGGATGTAGCCAGTCGTTTATTCTGTAAAACTTCTAACCTATAATACACTTTGGGATGTGATTGAAATCTCCATCATCACACCATTGACATAGAGAATTTTTCATCGAACACTGGCTCTCAGTGACATGTTTGGTCGGAAAGCAGTTTATAGCGTTTGGATTTGTACAGCTTCCTCTTGCTAGAAGTTTCGAATAGTAAAATAGTTAGAACGTAATTGTATTTAGCAATGGTGCGGTAACTGAGCTGCAGTAATGTACTGTGGCATGTCAGATCTTATTGGGTATATTCAATAACAGATTCAATCCGTCAGTTTTAAAGCATTTAATAACTGCAAAACTAATAAATCACATACCTTTAAAATCTGAATATACTTTTAATTTTGAATTGCGAATAAATTTAATGATGTGCATTTGTGTAATGTGGATTTGTTAGTGACAATAGATATGTATTATACTTACGAACTTCTTGCAATTCACTTACACACATCATCTGAAAATAAATTAAATAACTACTTATTTAAAAAAATATATTTTTGTATCACATCTGAAATACGGATACTCCATTTTATATGTCAATGCTTTTTTGTCAATGTATTAGCATTAGGTCAACAATATAGAATGCACATTATTTTTCTATTGCACTACAACTCTGATTTATTGTATTTGTCTCAAACCTTTTACACATTTTGGTGTGCTTTTAGGACACCAGGAACATCTATAAATGTTTAGACAGTCTTTTCCATTCGGGGGATTTAGGTTTTCTGTCGGCCAGCAATTATCAGCATCTGTGATGTCATCCCGACGACATGCTGCACCTTTAATAAAATATTTTGATCATTGTAGAATAACTGCAATCAATTGTGCGTCATGACGTTATCAACTACGTACCACAGAAAAACAGCGTATGGAAGACATTGTAGTAGCCTACATTACAAATATATTTTGTAATATAGATATACGATGCGTCTAGTCATTGTTGAAGATGTTTCAAACTCAAAAACATTTGCTGTAACTGTCTAATCTCTAATGTATAAACATGATGATACGTTTGAGTAAAATTGGAATCTAAAATGTCAACTGTATACGAACCTCTGATGCATTTGGGTTTGCCATTGGTACAATAATGACAGCCTTTTTTAGCACAATGCTTTCGGTTTCTGGCTTTACATTTCCATTCCTTCCTATCTTCAGTTGCGATCGCGCAGTTGTCAACAGCTATTATAATATAGACGTTTTTTACTGAAATATTGTTCAATATGGCGCAACCCCATGTCTCCAATTAAATAACAAAAAGGCAGATAATTCTTAATAGAACAAACTATGTATATATAATTCATTTAATAACATTAACCCTTTAGCATCTGAATGGTGGCGTTTGTATTAAAGTTGTTTTTTACTTCAACCCGTATAGAAATTACTCACCTGTTGGTACAATTGGTCCATCTGAAAACATATTAACATTTATGAAAAAAAGAAATAGACCATGATTTCAAATTGATTCAGCAATAACATTAAAACTCTAGATATTTTACTGACTTTGAGTATAAAGATATTAAAATACAACACTAATATGACTAAAATAGTTATTTTCTCATAAACAGGCTGTTTTATAAAATTCATTTGATCTTTTCCAATTATGTCAGACATAGAACAAATGGTCTACAATTTTTTATCTATATTTCCTGTAATTGCTTGACCCATTGTTTCATTTTAATAAAAGGAAAATGAATGAAACAAATTTTTTTATTTTGTATAATTCTCGCACCTCTAACGCATTGGTATTGTATGTGGTGTTTACAATAAGAGCATCCTTCCTTCTTACGGCATTTCTTAGGATTGACTGGTCCTTCTTCATCATTCCAGCAATTGTCTTCTGGTTGAAGGTTTGTTCTTCTACATGCCTGCCCTAATATAAAAAAATGTGAATAAATATACTGACCTTTTTCTGTATATTTCATATATGATATTGGAATCTTGAATATTTTTAACATGTGCCTAATTTTCAACACTGCTGCAGGTTACAGAGGATATATATATATATATGTTATTACGTCAGTGTTTTTAAATATTTTATTCCAAAAATAAAGTATTGAAAAAACTGGATCTTAGTAATCGTCGTTTTGGTTTAAAGGTCTACGACATAAAAAAGACATGATTTAATAATTTTTATATAAATATTGATGTTTAGCTAATTCGATAAAAGAGAGACAAATTTTTTCATGGAAATGTTTCGCTCGTAACAAACAGGATGAAGATGCATACTCAACACTGATTAACTTTGTAGTGTATTTTGCTCGTATCTTTTCTCTAGACATTCCGTTAACCTACAAATGCCAATAGTCATTTTTTATACGCTAAGTTCAAACACATGTTAGTTTAAAGTTAAAAATAATTCTTTGCAAAATTACCTTCAACGCAAACTGGCTTTTGACCCCCACAAAAATAACATCCTTTCCTGATACAATCTTTTTTTCCGCGGGCTTTGCATCTTGTTTTATCGCTTTTCTTTAGATCTGAATTGCAGTTGTCAATTGCTGAAAAGCAACAGCTAAATGTTAATGCTCATAAGCATACAAAACCTAATACAAATGAGAGGTTTATAGCAAATTATACGCACTTACTTGGCGTTTGTAAATATCCAGGATTGGGGATTACCTGGGACTTAATTAAAAATATTTACAAAACAGAAAATAGCATGCGAAATACTCTTTACACAGGCATCATCTGGTTTCGGAATTATCAGGGTTTGTGCTTATGGCCTTGCTTGTGTAGCATTTGCTATCATTATCAAAGATTTAGAAAATATAGGAAATCTTACCTGAAAAGCAAACGGCAATAAATGCAGCAATACAATATATATATAGCAAAGTTTTCATGTTACAATCCTTTAAAAACTCTCGATGCGACTTTTCCCGGCACTAAACTTCGTTTTGTTCTTCACTTGTGTCTCGATTAATTAAATATGTTTCTACAAAATAATTTAAGTTATTATAAAATATTATTTCGTGTCTGGTAAAGTAAAAATTCGAAACAAAAAATACTGATCTTTAATGCATTTTGTCTGTATGTACCTTCTTTTAATGAATCATAGTCGCCAGTAAGTTTTGCTTCCCCCACGTACCTGAAGGCACCGAGACAAGAGCACGGCCGATTGAAGATTCGATACAGGACAATCGCGTTAATTGTTGGTATATTGAGAATTGCGCCCCTTTTTTGTTGCTTCAACGCACAGGGAGCAGAATCATCTGCATATTTCCCATCTTTAATAACCACAGCTGGATTACAAAGTTACCGGCAACTAATTTACGACATAACTTCACAGCCTTTTACTCTATTAACATATTGAACGGTCGTCTAGAAACTTTCCTGATGGACTCCTCTACCATATGGAAAGGGGTATTTTGAATCGCAATCATTTTATTAGATCTCCGCTCTAGGAGACCCTTGTTATCAGTCGTTCTGCCTGTCTGTGTATCTGTCTGTCTGGATGAAATTTTTCACATGAGTTATCCATCCAACCTAGTATTGTGCGTTTTATGGAAAGTCCCGATGGAGGTTTCGTTTCCATGGAAACAACGAAAAACGCGCCGATCGTCAAAATGAACTGGTGGGCTTCAAGCAATGGCGGAGATCCAACTGGGCGTCTACCGGCTTGTTCCGGTGTAAGTCAGTAAACACTTCGAACGGTTCCATTCTATTACATTTGAACCCCCGTACATTTGAACCCGTAATTTGAACCCGCGACAATTTCACCTGCATACGATTGCACCTACGAATATTTGAACCCATACTAACCCTAACCCATGGATTTTAGCACCCATATATAGATTAAACCCGCAGATATACGGGTGCAAATGTATGGGTTCAAATGTGCTGTCACCCTCCGAACACGCACCTAAAATGTCGCAAGACTCTCAGAATGGCATCTTGTCTAACAAGCCTGAAAGGGAATTCAAGCTTTTCACCTAACAGTTACGCTCATCTTTTATCAAATCCGCAATGACCGAGATAAGCACACGCACCTTTAAAATGGCGACACAACCAAGTTTGAATTAAAAATATTTTTAATCGGAAAAATTTATTGAAAATTAGAAAGACAACTCTAATGCTTGTTGTAGGTTTTAAAGAAAATGATGCGGCACTGCGAATCTTGATCGAAACTGGCCAAACTACCGTCCAAAAGTTCACTCTGAATTAGCATTACTTGTTTTATTTTTGTCATAAGATTTGTTTGTTTAACGATATTTATTTAACTGCACTAAACACTGTATACTTGGCATTCTTAAAAATTATAATACCGATACCCCAAATTCAAGAAAAATATATATTCTTATTTCTCAAAGTTTCTCAGCATATATGCCTTTACATCTATCCTAGAATACAGTCAAGCAATTTAATATATTGGATAAATATATTAACGTCTACGTCTACGCTCAATTTACGGCTATACACCAGCCTTTGTTATCGAAATACAGACTGATGTTGGGCTGTTTGGCACAAGCTACACTAAAAGGTATGCTATAATAGGAAATATGGCGTACAGTCACCACATTTCTTCGAATCCGATGCGTAGCAACGAGATAAATAAAACACAATCATATCTTCGATATAAAAGAATTATAAAACAATTGTTCAAGATATGCATGATTCATGGAGAAATTAGTAAGCGGAAGTTAGGTGTTTACGTTAATAACATCCTTTTGGTAAACATTTAATTCAACTCAATTCACATAGGAATCGCCGACTTCAGCGGCTGTGTTTGAAAAGCCATGTTAGTCAGATGTTTGCGGATATTATGAAATTTTCCTAAATGAGCAAGCATACTTTATTCAACAAAGAAAGAACGCGTCGATGAAAAAATTTAACTTTGACATTGCTGTTTCAAATACAATATTTTTGATTAATCTCATATTCTCTATAAACTAATAGAAAATTACACCACTATATTATTCATGACAGAAGTTACTAGAAGACTATTACTTATATTATATTCAAAATTCCACTGAGCCCAATGGGATCCGCTATAGCGGCTACGTCATTTCAATTTAGAACACTTTTTATGACATACACGGTACACGCTAATACATATGATATATATTTGAGCATTGCTTTCTCGGTTCTATAACTTTGTCTAATCAGCAAGGTGTCAAAAGGGTAGTATTAATTGAAATTTTAACAGTCACTCAAAAACAATTTTTACTCAGACAGACTCACTCAGCACGATGGTTTGTTGTGTTTCTGATATTTAGGTATAAATGAAATAACTTACTAGTCATTTTGTTCTCCGTGGAGACCAAACAAGTTGCAAAATTCAAAAACTAATACCAAAAATGCTGCGATAGAAAATAAAATTAGCTATCAATGCTTTTAAATAACGATTCGTTAATATTTTGATATATGAGATTACGAAACAAGTCAACAAGTTTGCTCACGTCAACCCGCGAAAACACCCTTCAAATAAACATCAAACATTGTACCTATTAAAAAGTTAGTTATAAGGGGACTTATCGAAAATTGATTTTCCAAAATCCGATAACAAAAATCTTCAGCATGACAGTATGTTACTTCTAATTATAGCGTAACATTCTGTATTCATCATTTTATTTATAAACATAAATCGATGCTCAAATTGCGGTTCAATTACTATCATAGCTAATTCAATGTTTATTTTTCAACGTTCGATGTAGTTTGTGCATTGAAATTCGTGAAAACTATGAGTGAACATTTGCTAGTGCGATATATACATCTGCGAAATACAGCTTCATGCAGTTTAATAATAAGAGTGTACACGAATACAAAGATAAAGAAATCTGCAACTCGGGTTGTGTTTCTTGTTTTGTGTCGTTTTGCCAAAGATCCCGAAGGCTGGCGGAGTACTGTGAGAATTTGTATGTTCCAGTATTCATTTGCCAGTGTAACCGCTTGGTTATGACAAAGTTATATTTCTTTGTGAAGTGATTTACTTTCCTTCGTTTATTTTGAAAGGATGTTTGAAAAGTATGATATTGATTACGCCGCGGCGTTTCGGCCAACAAGCAATTGCGCTTTTAGGGTTCCGATCCGGCGCAGCGTTTCGTAAGTGTCTAAAATCTTGACATATTGACGTAACGCTATATTCGTCTCAAAGTCCTCATATTTCTAAATTTCCTAATTTATATCAGAAATTTTTGCTAATTTTTGCTTGATTGTGTGTTCAGAAAATTTCAAACGGTATGTTATTCATGTACTTTCCTAAAGCAAAAGTCGACTGAGAAGTCAATATTGGCTTCTAAAATATTAAAAAAAACAATCGGCAGGAGGGAGGAGACAGGTATTGACCGATAGTGCTATTTGTAGGAAATTCTGTCTTCTTTCTTGCATTGGGTTATTTGATTAATTTTGTCAATTAATAAATAAATCAAAAAGGATAAATCATAATAATATCAATCGGTCCATTTGGACTTTTAGTACTCGGTGATATATATCAGACTTGTGCATTTGAGCTTGATTTGACCATATCAAGTAAAATTGTTATTTGTTGAATGTATTGTTTTCCAGGAGCTAGGGAGCGGCAAGAAAATACGGAATCAATGGCAATAGCATTCTTCACAAATTTTCGGGCATCAAAACATGCTATACTGCAGTCATCTAGAATTTAGAATCGACCACATATTTTAATCAGTAACGATGGGAAAGTTTCTGTTATCAAATCAATTCTTGTTTTTTTAATTTTTTATAGCTATAGCATTGATTCTAGAGTAAGTCCAATTTAAATTTATTACTCGGTAGCCACATTTATTTGATACATACTAATTATGTTTTGTTCTTACCACGTACCAAGTAGAAATAAAAGAAAAAAGGTCTCATCCCGGAGAAAATGATCGGGGTAAAATACTAGACAGGAAAAAAGCTACATTTTCGGATAGCAATAATAGAACTTTTTTAATAGAAAATCTTCTGTCATTTATAGCAAAACGTTTATGGCACAGGATCTTATTATCGACGAAAAAGAGCACGTGAATTTTGTAATGAATGAGACTCTGACGACTGATACACATTACGAATGAACATACATCATAATTTTGTCAATCGGGTGAATGATTTCATTACAAATATAGCTTTAGTTGGTATTTGAATACAAGTCATTACTTTCTATTACATTCATTTCAATATTTTGTTGCCGGTCCGCGAAGTTATTCCAATTGCTTTTACTGGTTCGAGGCGGAGAAAGATAACCCTAGTCTAAATCATGCAATGCGAGGATATCGTTAAAACAACTTCATGTTACCATCTGTTCAAAGCGAGAGTGTGAGCTCCTTCAAAAATTAAAACATATTATCTCTGTAGTGGAAGTTAATTTTTTTTTATTGCTTATCGGAGTGCTTTCGTATAAGTTTAAACTATCTTGCTTTTTTATCTACATTTAAAAAAACACAGTGATCACTTTGAATGAGCAATATGCACATCAAATTATTTTTACTCGAGTCTATAATCGACTGAGGGATCTCTTCGGTTATATTCAAAACTTCCGAGACGACCATGCAAATATACGAGTTCATTCTTATCCGAACAAGCAAGAGGTAATAACTGCAAAAGGTAGAAAAATGCATATTTGTATTGTGAGGACCTCATGGTCGTTGGCAAATATTTGATTTTGATTCTAATTTAGAACTTCGTACGATTGGCTGAAATTTTTTACAAGTTCTACTCTCATTCAGCATTGCGATGTTTGATAGCTAGCTAGCCAGGCATTTAAAAATAATCAGGTGAACGATAGCGTTTATCAAAAGTTATTTCCAAGATGGGAAGAAAGTTAGCGACAGGGTTTGTTTTTTCATTGTGCATTGCTTATTTTCTGTACATACCATATCCGGATGCCTGTGATTTTCCGATATTGGTGAAGGTGTTTTTTAGCTCGCTTAAAGTACTTGATTTCGCGGTAAGTACATTTTTGTTCTCAATCTACTGCCAAATTCTAGACGTGGTATACTTCGAACACGTTTTTCCGAATAAGCGTTTGTTTCGTGATTGAATCGTGTTCGTGTTTCTATGTGGCAAGATTATTTGTTAAATAATCGCCAGAGGATTATATCTACCGATAGATACATTACATTAATACATTTTCAACAACTGGTCATTGAGTCGAGTGTTTCCGCCAGTGCATTAAAAAAAATAAAATTTAAAACTTAATTGTTTCAGGGCGGCGTATCGGTATGGCTCGGCGGAAGATATTCAACTCCTTACAAACTTACAGATTACAATCTGGCAAAATCGAGCGATGTGATCACAACGATAGCTATGTTTGATGGTGTTGAAGTTGCGATTTATCACCCTAAAGGTCGGTTTGGATTGAAATAACATAATATTTCGAGGCCATAGTAAAATACAGCGGTAATATTGCATTTATTTCACAGCAAGCTATATTATTCTGATAATGAAACAAGTTTTAGTCGGAAACGTTTTTGTTATATATCGTATGTCTTTTTGCACAAGGTCAAGTTTTATTGCCGGCATCGGTGTTTCCAGTATACTATATCGGTCACAAAACAATTTAAGACCTGGCAACGATGTTAACTATGAAGCAATGTATGTATGCTCTGTCAATAATGTAACGACTAATGAGACTTATTACATACCTAAAATAGCTTACGATGCCAACATGTAGAAGCTGACACAGCTTGATTTGGTGCTTCAAGCATTGCATCATTCGTTATTTGCAGGCGTTTCTTCCATAAATAAATGTTGAGTGCTAGTGATTTTCGCAACTCTGCTATCAGAAATGTCTACACTAGGCATGTCCAACCTTCTTAGCGTCGCGGGCCACTTTCAAATGAGGAAATACATCGCGGGCCGCAAACGTTTTTACCAAACTTAAATACAATCCAAATTCCAATTTACGTTAGAATTTGAGCGTCGCTAAATCAAACGCCTGGATATCACAACACTTATGCGCAATACTTATGAACACAACATGCACACAAAGACTACGAACCATGAACTACTCAATTTTTATGCAAAATGCACAACTTTCAAGCAATAATATACATTGGCATAAAATTTAAAAAAAGCCGGCAATTTCTTTTTCAACTAGTGTGAAACTTGCCTTTGAATGTCATTGCTCAAGTGTTTAATTAATATCAACGGGTATAGTTTTGATACCGAACAACGTAACTGGCTTGTCAAATTGTCGTTCGTCAGCTTATTCCTATGCTTGGACTTCATAATTTTTAATTTCGAAAAGAAAGATTCGCACAAATATGTTGTGCCTATTGCCGGGGAAACTCATCTTCATCGATATAGTGACTGTAGAATTTAAGTTTTCTATTTCTTAGAAACAAGCGTTTCAGTTGCGTACTTAACTGGACATCGATCAATTCGAGTTACATATATTCTGGGGCCTCTTCTACCCGAATGTCAAATGGACACATGAAAATTTCAAAGAGACTTTCGAATTTTAATAAAAATAAAAAATGAACTGCTTACTTCAATTCAAATTGAGTTTCATACAGTTCAAGCTTTGTGATAAACGCCTGTATATCTTCTTAACAGTCTGTAATCCACTGTGTAGAAAACTCTGTCTTCACAATGTGTAGAAAATTCATTGTATCGCCACAGATGTTGCACGCTTGAGTGGTCCTCTGTAAAATCATATTCTGTAGCGCTTAACGAGTCTAATGATGTTTTTCTTATATCTGAGCCCCGTTGAATTAAAGCCTGAAATCATCTTGAAAAAGCTTGATATCATACCAGGAAACTTTTATGTAAAATTTGTTTATACGTCCGTATTAACATAAAAATTTCATGTGTGCCGCGCAAATCCTCCGTGTGGGCCGCATGCGACCCGCGGGTTGGAAATCCCTGGTCTACAGTACACCATTACGTAAAATTTGACAAAACTGACTACATTATTTTGGGGGCGTGGCTATTGTGATAAAATTCGACAAATCAGCTAAACGTATAAATGTCTTTTTGGTCGTGGTCACAAGATTTGTCTGTTAGTCAGAAATATTGACCGACAACATAGTTTGCTATTTCATGTCAACATAAAGCAGTCTTTGCCCTCTAGATATCTCATTTTTTGTGTAGCAATGGTTTTGTCAACACAAGTTGAAAGTTTAACACGAAAAGAAAATGTTTCGTCGCCATTAAATCCTATATGGGTTCAGCCGTGGAATTAAATTCTGTTATAGAGTAATATAACGCATAAGTATTTAAATTGTTTTGCAGAGTTTGCTAAAAAACGACCAGGATCAGCGATGATATATTTTCACGGTGGAGGTTTCACCATAGGATCGATAGGTAATTTGAATTCATAACTCAAGATATTTTTATATATATCTAATTTTTACAATAAATGTTCACAACTAACGTACATTAAATAATTTGATTACTTTCTTAAGTCTTTACGAGATTTAAGTTCACAGTATTATCTGCTAACAATCAAAGTTTCTCGTTAAAAAATTCTTTACAATACTTCGATTTTCTCCTACATTTTCTTGACGAAATTTAATCTCGAGTGAACAAACTTTCATAAAAAATCGAGTATTCTTTTCCATTTTATTTCAGCGTCCTATGCATCTTTAACAATGAAAATCGCTGAAAAAACGGGAATGCTTGTAATAGTACCAGAGTAAATATCATTCCTATATAATTTTTTATTCGTTCAATTTTTAAAATGTGGTCGTTCAAAATATCTTACAATCAAAATATTATAAAATTGATTTGTTGTGAAATATAACTTATCTAAATTTCCTACTAAAATTCTTGTGAAAACGCTTACCATCTTCATGATAGATAATTCATATACCGTAAGCTAACTAATATTTCAGTTCACACAGAATGCGCAATAATTTCACCAAGAATCGAGTATGCAAATCACGTACTTAAATTGTACATTTGATTTTTTAACTAATGTCTGCCTATAAGATAGATTCATTTACTTAATGCGCGCTCTTGAATTTGGTGAACTTCACTCTATAACAAGTAATAACGAAAATCCTGTGAATTTATTTTTCAGGTACAGACTCGTCCCTGACCACCCATTTCCCGCAGGATTTGATGATTGTCTGCGCGTCACAAAACATTTTATTGAAAGAGCCCGAGAATTTGACGTGGATCCGAATAAAATTGTATTATCAGGAGATAGCGCAGGTCATTTTTTCTAAGTGCAACCTAACCTACTAATACAAATCTTTTTTTGTTTTTTTTAGTATAACTTCGAAATGCATATGACCATACATTGCTAATACATATTACAAATAAGTATTATTGAAAGATACGCTATGCATTTCCCTTATAATAGGGTTGGATTATTCGGATAACGGATAACACGATAAGCGGGTAACCGAGGGGTATTTTGCTATCTGATATTTTTGTGCCGGTTGCCGGAATGAGCATGAATAATGCATTTGCTCATTAGTGGTTTTAATATTTTTTGTTAAGTGGCGGCTGACATCCCCAGAGCACATAATAAAAACTGTTATCCACCCTTTTTGCTCATATTTTAGCCTTCCGTAAATTGCTGGAGTGAACTTCACGATCACATCACCAAAAACCCAGGCTTGTCCATGAGACATATTTTTCTGTCCCATTCCCATCCCATCGAATAGCAATTATGCCTGTCCCACTCCATGGGATTCCCATTGGAATAAAATCCAATAAAAATTGTTAAATTTAGCTTTAGCGTTTACTAAATAGGACTAGATGTACGAAGAGACCTGCATGCCAACAAAATTTACGGACTTTGTTAACTTTATATTTATAACTATTATACATGTGTTCACAAAGTATATTGTTAATGCTGAATATATTTTGCTCTTTATAACTTATAAGAGAACTATGCTCAAATATATGGACACGAAGTCCATAACGAAATGTTTGACCATCATTTGCCGGAAAATCATACGTTTTTCGTGTCCCACAGGAAATACAAATGTGTGCTGTCCCATCCCATGGGATTCCCATTCCCATGGACAAGCCTGCAAAATACGCATTCGCTTTATAAGGTTGGGTTGGAAATATAAGCATGTAAATGAATTCACGAACGAAGTTTTGAAGGGGTAGGTGGGAAGATGAGGCAGTCTGAAGGATGACGGTTTTGGTGATGACTATTTTCGCTGTCGCTGTTATTGCCATTGGGTATATTGTCGGGAAAATGGGACGTGTTTTGGTTCGGGATTGGACACAACACCAATACCGCACGACCTACGCCACGTAGGCTATGTAGCACAAGGCTTTGTCGGTGGTGGATGGCCTCTTTTCTATCCTACATTTAGAATTTGTTGGAGATCTGCCGCGGCTGGGTGGTACATTTTGATTTTGATCTGGTGCATTGTGCTTTTACGGACATATAACTTAGGCCTACACTGGGAGAAGTGCGATCCACGGATTGCTGATATTGTTTATGTCCATAATTTCATGGCTTTCCCGGGTAGTTTGTTTGCCAGTGCCCACTGATCAGCATTTGTTTACTGATTTTTTTTTGTCAGTATCGTTCGGCTTACATAAGCCTTACCGTCAGCTTACGTCGGCTTTTACTACTGAACAAAAATTTGCACCTATGTAGGTTAGGTTGTCATCATTGTGTATATTTTTCAGGTGGAAATATGGCAGCTGGAATAAGTGTTGAACTTGCTAAACAACTCGACACCAATCAGAAGCATCCAGTTTGTATGATGAACTTAATTTATCCATCATTGCAGAAGGCGAACTTCCAGTTACCGAGTTTCCTGCAGAATCGAAATCCTCCAACACTACCGCCAGAATTAGTTGGGCGTTTTAGTTTAACTTATCTCGGGTGTGTTCGAAATCACCCTAAAACAATATCCATGTGCTATATATGTATATATATATAACATAGAATTCAATTTTATACATTAGATTGAGAAAAATATAGTTGCGCAAAAATTTTATTGAAAATCGATCAATCGATCGATCAATTAATCTAATTACAATCTATTCGTTCCATAAAAAGAACGTTATCGATCGGGATCGAAAATTTAGGATGCAACTCCGTGAGAAATGACAGTTGATAAAACTGTGTATTGCAACCTGATTTCGCATTATGAAATTTCAAAACTCGGCGAATTTCAGCTTAAAGTTGAGACTTTTTTGACCAAACTCTCAGATTATTGATCCGTTTGTATGAGTGAATTTTAAATCCCACAACGATTGATACCCTTGACTCCAACTTTACAAATGATCAATATTGATTGAAACTTTCTATACAGATTTGAAAATGAGACCCGCTTTATTCCGTTGATTCTCAAGAATGCTCACATGATAGGATTCGATGATAAAGACGGAATTCTGCAAGGAATGAGCGAAAAATGGATTCCTCAAAAGTAAGTGTGGTATATATTAATATAATACATATAATTTATTTTCTTCAAGTTAAGAGCGGGCTACCGATTCAACTTTAATCAATATACTTTCTTGTTGTACAGAATGTAAACAACAGCTGAGCTATGGTTACAAATTAAATTTTCATATTTGTTGTTAAAATGATGTAGACTACATGTTAACTTCGGGACTAGTTGCTGTTGGAACATTCGGATTGTTAGCAAATTCATCGTTTATTTAACTATAGTTTGATTGCCGCCAACATTAACCCATATTTAAACTTAACCTCTTTATTTTGGTTTAACAAATATTCCAGCAGCTTATCAGAAGTAAAACCACAAACGTTGTCGCATTCGCGTATTTACTGCAGCGTTGCGGGCAAAAGTTTCTTCCCCGTCGAACAATACCTTGTAAAGAAAGCCCGAGTGATGATAAATTCCGAAAAAATTCAGCAACGCATAATTTAATAACAGATATAAAGAAAGAACTTATTCAAAACCTGAGATTGCACAACTCACTGACGAAGAAAAAAAGTCGTTTTCAGCTGTGTCTTCAAAGCTACAGTCCGTAGTGTCTGACACGAGAATGGGGCCACTTGCTGCATCTGACTCATTGTTACGAAAGCTTCCTATAGCCAACGTGATGACGTGTGAATATGACGTACTTCGTGACGACGGCGTGAGTTTTTGGACATTTTAAGTTTTTTAATATTGGTAAATGTAACTTACTTATCTAATGTAGTAAAGCCACGGATTGGGTTTCCCTTTTGATTCATGTCGTATTTGTTTGCTTTTTATTTTTCAATAAGCCTGACCAAAACTCGAATATTTCCCAATATAGCCAGAATCAAACATTCTAGAAGAATGAACATTTATACAAATAATTCAAACAACAATACCTTACACTTCAACTAATCAGGCGCAAATCGCAATGGCTGGACAAACCAGTAATGAGTAAATGAACAACAGCAGTCGCTCAACTCTCTCGCCTTCCTTGCTTGTGATTCGAAAATCACGTTATAGTTGATTTGCATCAAACTCAATTTTAAATATTTGATGCGTTTGGTGAGAGCTGGTTTATAATCTTACAATCGGCATAACTTTACCTTTGTAATCGGTTGATACATTCATGTTTAGATAATCTTCTACGAAAGAATGAAAGCACTTGGAAAACGAGTGACTCACCAAAATTGGGAATTTGGCGCTCATGGTTTGATAAACATGTACGGTATTGCAGAGTATTATCAACTGGAGCGGGAAATGAATTACATGTTTGAATTAATTAGCAAAGTAGTGGAACAGTGTTAATTTTTGGCCAAATTCTATCATATAATTCTTACCTTTGTAAAATGTTCATATTTTTAACTCAATTCGGATAACCAAATTGTATTCGCCTTTTATTCTCGACCTGTGTATCGTTTCTAATACTGCCTTCGTCTCGCCAATTTCCGGCCAATCTCTTCTCAGTAATTCTAACCGCATTTTGCTCCAGCTTCATTTGAAAAAAAAATCTATGTCATGTCATGAATCCACCTGGCACCGAACCTCCCATGACTATAAGAAAGGTGACTGAGACACATTCAGCGAATTTATTCGTGATAGGCCATGGACATATGTATATATATCTGCATTTTCGTTACCAGTTGGATTTTGCGCTTCAGAGATCGCAGATTGTTTGCGCCATGGTTTCCTTTGAAACACTTGCGGCGTTGCTGCTGTAGACAAAATGCATCTATCAAAAACAAACAATCTGAAATGCTTCTGGCGTCTAATGGGTATTTACTGATGCGTCATTCTGCGATATAGCACAAAAGCCCTTGACACTTCATTGGTCGACCTTTGCTCAGAGATCAGTCTCCTTTATTTGTGAGTGAGTGCGAGTGACCTTCCTTTGAACAAATTTCATTACAAGAAACAGCAGCATGAAAAGCAACAAATTGACCTAAAGACGGGATCAGAATCACAGATCTGGATTTGCCTGCCATAGACCAGTGATTCCCAAACTTTTTTTAATATCGTTACCCCTAAACCAGAAGTACCAGAAGTTCAATTCTTCTTGAAAAGAATGGGATATTCATGTTGAAAGTCAATCCGAAATTTTCAAATGTAATATACGTATCTGTCTTTGCGAAAGAAACTGAGAAATTTCACTTTCGCGGTCATATAGTTATCACTTTTTCTCTTTATGCAAAAATGGCGATAATACAAACACCTCCTAACCATCCCCTAAACCAGGGGTCACCAACGCGTTGCCCGCGGGCACCAAGTCGCCCGTGAAGACCTTACGATTCGCCCGAAGGTCTGTTTCAAACTAAGTATAACAACGGCGCTTATGAGTAAACTACATCAATAATTTCTGTCCTGCTATTCTTGTGTAAACCACACTTATATGGAAATCGGGAAGGGCACTATATTAATCATTGTAGCCATCAACCTGATTCTTATTTGATCTCAGTAATGTGACGGGTCAATTAACAGTCTTGCAATTATGACATCACACTGATATCACTTACCACGAACCCACAGCGTAGTACGGGCAGAAAAAGCTCGCGATTCAAATCATATAGCAATTCTATTTTACGAGACCATTGTTTCGTTCAACCTATCTTTGTGAATCAACATTTTTGACATAAACTGAGGATAGGGTGGGATTTACATATTTATCCCGGGGGAGAAGATAGCCGATAAGACGGCTTAAACATATGGCGAACCAAGGCCTCTCGTCCGGTTACCATTTCATGTCGGGTATGGGATTAGTTAGTTATTTGTTTTCGTAAGCATGGACTTGATGGCGAAGGAAGCCATCCCAACGACGGCAAGGGTCCAGCAATCCTCTCGCACATAACTATCCTCGCATGGGATTCTAACCTGCGAACCTAACGCTTAGCACACTAACGATGGCCACACAGCCGCGACTTTTTAGAAGTATACATTGAATTGGTAGCCCGCGGCTTAATCTGTACCCAGAAAGTAGCACTCGGCCTCAAAAAGGTTGGTGACCCCTGCCCTAAACCTATTTTAAGATGACTTGCGTTCGCTCAGAATTTTAGTTTAACATTTTTACAGCGAAATATTTTTATTATGTATTTACTAGCAGCGCAACTCGATGGCTATTTTTTCCGTTTTCCGATCTTCCGTCTACAACACAGAACACGAACAAGTGCTGTAACCAGCGCCTTTGCCAATTCACTCACGCAAGTGGAAAAAACTCGCCAATCAGTTGGTCGGGATCAGGCAGTTGTCCATCATCCTGTCGCAATACGAGCATGATTTTTTGAACGGGAATTTAATATATACTGGTATCCTTGTTCATTTCGTGTCCAACAACAAAGCAATGCTTACTACATATATGGACACGAATGTCGTGCAGCAGTACAGGTGCGGAAAAGCCGCCGAGCAATACGAAATGCTCATATTACACCTCAACGGGACAGAAAATTTTGTTCCATCCCGGATAAAATTTCGCGGGAGCCCGTGGCATTGCAAGACCCGAATACTTTATTCATCATGCATGCGTTTTAAGCTAGGGCTCGACATGTGACGCATTGTGCTAAGCGATAGGAACATGTTCGTCACCGCACCCCCTGATTATCCTACATGGGTTTGCAAGGTTCCAGTAATCAAATATCAGTATTTCGTAAAAAGTAAAAAAATGCGGGAAAGTGAAAAGTGCGAGAATTACAAAAAAGTTTGGGAACCACAGCCATTGACGGTAATGGATGATTGGTGTTGAGACCATGTAATGAAAAAAGGCGACAATTAAATGGGAGTAGTTTTATTTCTATATTTTCAAACGCAATCTTCAATAAATCAGCTTGAATTCCGATTCCAGAGTAAAACACGAATTTGTTAAGCTAAATAAAAGTATCTTCGACCAGAGATAAATATCGCTCAACTAAGATAACTGTTCTCAACTACGAACGGCCCAAATTAACTTGCAACACAGGTGAACGTTACAATGTTTTCTTGAAATTGTTTCAGCTTTAATTACTATACACATACACGCTCCTCTGTGCAAATATTAATCTCAGGCTCGTGTATTGCGATCATCATTGTTAAATATTTACCAATTTTGAATTTTTTAAACACGTTTTGCTTAGTGTTATAGCCGTGCTTGGAGAACATAAAATCTTCTAATTGTTGGTTATTGAGGGAAGTTTATTTGTGTATAATATCATTGTGATAGGGAGGCGAGCGTGATAGAGCACTTAGCATTCAGAACATGCACCGTTGAAATCGCAAAATTCAAAAGATAGAAAATTTGGGAGATAATCAGGACATGGAAGAGATAAAGAAAAATCCAACCAGAAGTTACAGATCGATTATAACATTTCGTATCGCTTTTTAGTTAGCTGTTTCATTAGTAAATCAGCCAGATGAATACAATGACTTGCAATAGTTGTTATACTAGTAAAGATGTGATCTACTGAATATGATTCAAACTGAATGTGATTTTATTTGTAAAATATTCAATATATATATATATATCTATGTAGGATTTTAATATAATGATCAAACTGATCTTTTAGGCTATAATTGATTTCATTGCTAAAGTTGATTAATTTGCTCCAAGGTAAAACCCTAGTTTCCCTCCTTTCTCGAATCTAGACAACGAAATTTTTGTAAAATAGCCAAAGACAATATTCTATTCTCAATCAGAACAGTATAATATTTTAGCGTTCATATTATAATTTGAAATGGGAAGAAGATTATTGGGATTTTTGTTCGCATCCTGGCTGGCCTATCGTTTGTATGTACCGTTGCCAGATTATTGTGACTTTCCAATAAAAATAAAGGGACTCTATAGTTTGTTTAATGCATTCGACCTTGCGGTAAGTGGCATGACTATTATTTGTTACAGTATTTTATGTCATTGTGTCAAAGATACTTCGGGTTGAATATACATTGGTAGGCTATGGCCGATAGAAAATATTTCAGCTTTCTAAATCAGGTAGCTTATGTGTGGCTGCTACCATTGTTTTGACTTGACCAAAGTATGAAATAATTAATTGAAATGAAATGGAAATTTCTAGGCCACATTATGGGTTTTAGTATATAAACTCATTATGGTGTAACTCACTTCAACTGCTATTATGAGTGCAAATATATTAGTTCGAAAGAATCGTTCCAAACATTTTTATATATCTATTTGGAATATATATATACAGGGAAATGTGTTCGAACTTTTTGGAGGAAGCTACTCCACGCCTTTCCATCTAACAGATTATGACCCGGGAGATAATTTAAAAGAAATAACAACTACAACTAAAACACTTGCTGGCCGACAAGTTGACATTCATCGCCCCATAGGTAGTTAATAATATTAATTTTATTTTTAAATATTCAGCGATTAACATTTATTTGAAATTCGGAATGAGATAAAGTAAATACCAAGATTACACATAACAAATTAGTATTTGATTTGAGCAGGCCCTGTTTTTCGAATCATTAAAGAGTCGTATATCGGTAAATAAGTCATATACGTTTTAACAAATCGTCGATTTTATATTTGATCATTTCAGGATTCCCTAAAAAGAAATCTGGATCAGCTATCATATTTTTACATGGAGGTGGTTGGACGATAGGATCAAGAGGTTAGTGTTTCATTTTGTGTTGCCACAATGCCGCTAATGCAAAAATTAACTTTTTGTCATTTACTTTGTTTGTTAAGCTGCTTATGCTGTTGTGACAAGAAAAATTGCGAAAGAAACAAACATGATGGTTTTTGTGCCGGAGTAAGTTTGTTTTATATATGATTTCAGAGTAATAATAAAATGAAAAATGGCATATGACATATTATGTAAATACAGATATCGTTTGGCGCCAGATCATCCCTTTCCTGCGGGATTCGAAGACTGCCTAAAAGTTACAAAAGAAATAATCAAAAGAGCAAGAGATTTTGACATAAATCCGAACAAGATTGTTCTTGCGGGCGACAGCGCAGGTAAAATTAAATATATTCTGATATCCTTGTTTGCCTTTTGTGTTTTTAGCTTCCATTTATGTCTTGTTTTTTATATTTTCACAATATAACAAGACGATTTCTTTCACCAGGAGGAAACCTTGCAGTCGCCATAAGTTTGAAGATAGGTGAAGAATTTCAAAATGAAACACACCCAATTTGCATGATTAACGTTATATATCCATTCATGCAATTAGCCAATTTTCAATTGCCCAGCTACTTACAAAACAATGACGGAGGGTTGTTTTCCCCTTATCCTGTCGTTCGATTTCTTCTATATTATCTTGGGTGAGGATTTTCGTGTTCCAGTAACTTATTTTGTTTCTTTCGTGAAAATTAATACTACGGTTGAAGAAGAAATAAAATTATTTGTACTCATAACCAAAAATATGCAATTATCAATTATTAATACTTTTAGTTTTTGGAATCACACCAATATAATTCCACTGATTACAAGAAACAGTCATATGAACGGATTCAAAGATAAAGATATTCTCGATAGAATGAGCGATAAGTGGATTCCAGAAAAGTAAGAGATTATACTGTATATAAATATCAGTATGTGATCAATAATATTTTAGAATATTATCTACGAACAATACTGAAATTTGTAAATTCAAACCCTACCTGTGACCAACCGACTCAAAGTTAATAATATGCATTTCGTTTAAAATACTTTCATGTTGCCTTTCGGAGTAAAATTTCAGGCATTTGATTTATTTGTTTTTGTGTATTCACTCCAGGTACTTTTCATCAGTCAAAACAAATTTCATTTCAATTGATATATCTTTCATGGTGTCATCTCGTCTAATCATGTCCGTGTTTTGTTTTCATAATACTGACAAATCTATGAAAACCACAATTAATATAGAATAATTCTCATTTCAATACCATTTTCATTGTGTTATTTATGTCGTCATCGAAACAAGAAATTGGAAGACTAATGTTTTTTTTAAGATATAAAAAAGGTCTAGTTCCGACAGATGATGATAACGAAATTGGATCCGATCAAATGGAAACGTACTTCCTACACGCCACAAAGATTCAAGAATTCGTTTCCAATCGCCAAGTTGCACCTTTGGCCGCGAGTGACGAACATTTACGCACACTACCCTACACACACGTAGTTACCTGTGAATACGATGCCATACGAGACGATGGAGTGAGTGAATGATGAAACCATTACAATTTTTATTTAAAAGATGGTGTGTCAATTCTTGAAAACTGGATTGACTTTATTTACCGTAATTCCAGTCAATTTATATAGTTTCGTGAGAAAGAAAAAAACAAAAATATTTTGGTAAATGTCGAATCTTTGTATTAAAAAAACACATTGGGATATGCTGGAGTAAGACGAATATCCTGATATGGCCATTTACATTTGCACTAGACTGCATACAATTTTAGTTTATAAACATAAGTACGGATTATTGAGAACCAAAAGTCATCAACAGATATTATACTACTTATATTGTACTACTTTTTTACATATATATAGATCTTTTAAATGTTATTTTTTGAGATAAAGTTAATATGAGATACCAGGATACAATAATATATTCCAATCCTCTTCAGATAATTTTCTACGAAAGAATGAAAGATCTCGGAAAGAAAGTTACCCATCAACATTGGGAGTTTGGCGCACACGCTTTATTGAACGCATACGGAATGGTTGAATATGAAAAACTCGATCAAGCAATGGGAGAGATGTTTAACATAATTCAAAAAGGAGTAGACCAATGTTGATAAATTATCAAATATCGTTTTTTTTAAATAACTATTTCATTAGTATTTATAGCAGGCTGCTAGGCTATTAAAGTTCTGGTCAAAGACAAATTTTGATACGTATTTTATTCTTGTTTATGACAGACGAAGCAAACAATACAATTGGGCATAAACTTATTAATCATTGAGGTAAAATCACAAGAACTTATTTATCTGAACAGATGAGCATATTCAAGCAAATCCAAAAATTTCTTATAAGATGTGTGCGATTTTACTAATCTATTAGTTCTTGCCTTATCGGAATAAATTGAGAATAATCTATATTATGACTTAAGACACAAGACTTTATATATCCTTAACACGTATACTTGTGGTGGCCATCATTCTCCAACCAAATTGCTTTGTCTTGCTCTGTGTACTGCATGGGTATTCATAATCTTGTCACGCTTCTGATTAGTTCTTCACCCATTGTTGTTTGTTATTTTTCTTTTACCAACGGTAACTTTTTTCGGTATTGGTGGATATTCGTTGTAGCCCAAACCCCACGACATCTCAGCGTGTCTCCCTCTACACTTCAGAAAGTTATTCAAAGCCCCCACTACCAGGTCGATGTAGAATTCTACAATGGGAATCTTGCTAAAATTTTAAATATTTTGAACGAAAATGTATTGAATTTCAATATGGCAAACCTGTTTCCATGTTTACGTCAGGAATGTGCGCCCTGCGGGCCAAACGGGGAGACCGACTGGAATAATGCCCATTTTGAATTGTGTGCGGCCCGCGAAACGAGTTTTTAATTCAGTTTAATTTGATACATACGAGTAATTTCAATCACTTTGCGTTGCGAAGTAATACCTGAACCCAATTTGTTATCTATGCCTATGACGTTTCAGTGCCCAAACATCTAGCTTGTGAGAAACGAACAACGTATACCATAATATGTCAATCAACAAAATTTTTGTATTTGCTACTACTGGCGTATGATAAATAAAGGTGCGGCCCGCGGTTTCACCCAGTTATTTGTATTTGGCACTCCTGTATTAGAGGTTGTACACCCCTGGTTTATGGCAATGCTTGTTGAAATATAAATATATATGCGGGTTCCTGTACATTTGAACCCACGACAATTGCACCTGTATATATATATTGCACCTGTGGAAGTTTTTTTGTTTTGCGGATATTTGAACCCATACTAACCCTAACCCATGGGGTTTAGCCCCCGTATATAGATTGGACCCGCGGATATACACATGGGTTCAAATGTACGGTCACCAAATATGCGATATTGGTTTGTGTTGTTCGTTATATACTTCGACGCAGTGTAATGAAATAGTTAGTTCATTCTGCATGACCGTAAAATTTAAACATTTTTGTTGGAAGGTAATATATACGATAGCTAATATGTTTGAGATGGTTCCATTACATTTGAACCCATGACGATTGCACCTATGGACCGGCATTGCACCTATGGAAATTTTTGTTGTTTTACGGATATTTTAACCCATACTAATCCTAACCCATGGGTTTAGCACTCGCATAATCCCGCGAATGTACACATGGGTTCGAATGTACGGTCACGTTTGATATGTATGAGTGACAAGTCACGCGTAGCCACCAAAGCATAACTATAGACGAGTTTTTGAACAGATCTGCATGTTTACCATAATATCGTAACATCAACCGTTATAATTAAACTTGGAATGGCTCGTTAAATGAAATTTTATGTTTCTAGCTTCGCCCTGAGTAAAATGAGATTCCCGATAATAACACAAACTGTTAGACAAAAGCAACCTTGCAGAAGTATTAGATGGACAGCAAACCTCAGCTTAACAGTATATTGTTTGATGGATGCCTGAAAAGATATTTTAGACAACAAGGACGCTAATATGAAGACTATATTTCGCTTTGTCAGCAGATAATGCTTCATCGTAATAGTAGTTGCCATGAAATGAGGCACATGCTATTTATTGGAGGACATGCTATTTTTTGTAGAAGTCTCAGCATATATCTTCTTTTTATACATACCCCGGTGCGTGCGACCTCCCTTTATTGGTGAAAGCGTTTTACAACTTACTTAAAGTACTTAATAATGCATTGAGTACGAATTTCGTTTTAATTCACCTCATACAAGTTACAACAAGCAACCAAGTTTTTCCGAATAAGGACGTTTCAATGTGACGCTCGCTATTCTGCCAACAAACGCTTCACCGATCTTACATTCGTGATTCAATCGCGACCGTTATGGTTCCTAGCCTTCTTTTATATTCATCGAAATAGAGTAAATATCAGGATTTATCACTATGTATACAATTGTAATGTATACGTAGAATCGGCAAAGGTCATTAGCATTTTTGTAAAGTGCTTTATATTTTTTCCACCTGTTGACGTTTCGAGCGCCGTTTGTTTTACATAAATTATTCTCAGATGGCGTATCAGTATGGCATGGTGGAAAGTATTTCCCTCGTGAAATAGCAAGTATGAACCCGACAAAATCAAGTGAGTTGGTGACCAGTATCGCAGATCTTTACCGCCCGAAAACTTTTTAGTATGAATTGTAATAAGAGAAATATATCATTAGCGCGTGGCGCAATTGGTTTTGTTTACTGATATATATAGTAATATTATTATGAAATAAAATAGTCCTGTTCCTAACAGGAAACAGTCCTGTTAGTTGCAACAGTAATTTAGCAGAGCAGTTTACAAGATCATTCAATCATATACAAAAGAAGCCAAAAAACAAATGCAGGTGGCATTCGAAAAGATTTTAGAATTAATAATCAAGAACGATTATTACAGCATTGATTCTAATTTTTCAGTCTACATATAAGACTGTATACCTATCATACTGGCTTACCGGACTGAACATTGGATTATCCGATGAAGTCATGAAATTATATCAACCATCAAATGACCTAATTTCCGTGTAAATTTAGTAATATGCATTACGTTCTATTGTTTTGCAGAGTTTGCTAAAACCATCCAGGATCCTCGATGAAATATTTTCACGGTGAAGGTTTCACTATTAGGTCAAGATAATTTATAACTTAGTGAGATTCAATTCTCTTACATTTTTAAATATTCCACTGATGCAATGTCGCGAAGACTCACTACAAAGTAAACATATAATTTATGCATGTCATGTATTTCTTCAATATGCTTTAGTAAAGAGAAAATTGCTAATTTCATACGGCAAATATTTTAAAAAATTTAGATAAAGATCCAGCTTGTCGATATATCTCCTTCTCTAATCTGTGATATAGGATGCATCAAAACCTTGTATATCCCTCCGTCTGTCATCCCATAAATTCTTGAAAATAATTATTCGCAAATGCGCGGTTGCAACAAGCTCAAATACGCTGTTTTGTGGAACTCTGGCTTTCTCATTGCATTAACGCGCACCATGTATGGAATTTTTAAAGAAAATTTGCGTTGAGAACAAAGCTTGCCAATTTTAAGAAGTCGTCGACCGAAATAACCAAATTGGGCTAACGAAAAATCAAATTAGGCGCGGGTGTTATAAATGAATAATAAGATATAATCAATTACCCGTCTACAGATTATCCGTACGTTGATTCACTTGATTGTGATTAACTTTGATATTATGTCCTAGCCCTTGCTTGCTTTTTGTCTACTACTGCTCGCTCGTGGTACTTCGAGATCGAAAGCAAGAGTCAGCATAATTCTATACCGATAGAGTAACTCTTGGTATTTCATTCAACGTAATTCTCTCTAATTAGTGCATGATTGAGAACTATAGCAACAGAAATATAAACCAGATCGGCAATCAAGCTGTAACAAACTCATAACGTCGTCCTGAAACAGCAAACAGTTGACATGAACCTGACATGAGCAACATATTGTTCTACTGTAAGACGATACTCTAGTCTAGAGTCTAGACTTCAAGGAAATTAGATAATACCAATGCAGAGTTCGATCTGAGAAATGCATTTGAGACTGGAATGTTAGTGCGTTCCGACAACGCGAGACTAAAACGTGATCTAAAATAAACAGCAGATTGTTGTTAATTATTAACCAATGGTTTTATGGCGTTATATTATATTGCTTTAGCTGTTATTCATGAGAGTTCAGTGAGGAACAGCGCGAGAGTGAGGAAATTGTTCAGATTGTGATTTATATCTTACGATTACAGTGATTGAATTATTGGGAAATGAGGCATTTTGGTACGACTAGATTTTTTTAGTATCTGTGGTCACGGACATTATCTTAAACCCTCCCTATCCGGGGTACTTTTAGAGTTAAATGTTAACATTTATAACTCAATCTGCAATTGACGGTCAAAACAGCTTGGGTATCTCACATAGAAGGCTCATTTATATACCCAACTTTTTCAATATCTGCCAGAGAGGCAGAACGTTTCAATTAACTACAAACTGCTGCAATTCGACATTTCAATCAATCAATCAGTTTTTTCAATGTTTTTGAAATTATCCGATGACAAAGTCATTTTCGTGTTTTCTCCTATTGTTACCGTTTTTGCAATTTCATTGAATCGAACTGCTTCTACACTGGTGTTTCTTTGAATAGTTCTACGTTACATGTCGATCGGCATATGCTGACTTCTCTGTCGCGTAAATAGATCCTGTCGTAAATATGGTGATTGTGATCTTGTTTAACGGCTTGCCCTTACATACCAACCCAGAAGTTGACTTTAAAATGAAAAAATATCGCTGCTCCGATGATTATATAGAGGATGTCATATCATAACTATACTTATACTTTAGAATTTTAACTTCGTTTGTCATGTTTGGATCAAGGGCACTCATTTTCATCACAATATGCATACTTGCTGTTAGTTATATAAGTTACATTAAATACCCTGAAGCATGCGATTATCCGTTGGGGATAAAAGCGTATTACAGCGCTACAAAAATATTGACATTTCTGGTAAGTTGTGTAATCCAGTAATCTTTTTGTTAGGGTAGACCCTCAAAAATGTTGTAACGGCCTCATGATATATATTTACTTGAACTCTTTTTTGTTTCATTTATCAAACAACAATTGAAGAAGATTTCTGTTGTAGAGCTCTCTCTTCAAATCGAAATTGATTTTCTCTTAGCTTCTATGTCAATATTTTCAGGCGGATTTGTCCTTGCGTTTAGGAGGAAAATATTTGACTCCGTACAGAATCTCCGAACATGATTACAGTGCACCTGTTGAAGGCATAGAAGTTTCCATTCACAAATTCGGAGGCGTAAAAACAACTGTAATAACACCAACAGGTAGATTGTTATTATTGCCTGAAATATCAAACCTAGATATTCCTATTCTAATATTCTAAATTTGTCAGGTTTTGGTGATAATGGAGGCGAGTCTGCTATAATATACTATCACGGCGGAGGATGGGCATTGGGTGGAATTGGTAAGTATGGATATTCCTAGACCCTAGTTTAATACATTTTTCAAATATGACTGTCTGACAGGCTTAATCTGAAGCACTGAAGTAAATATATTGCACAATGTTTCGAGAGTTGTTCTTAAACATCTATTTATTTTGTATTCAGCTACATATGCCGCATACTTGAAAAAATTGTCAAAAGAATCTGGGATGGTGGTTATTGTACCCGAGTAAGTAACTCCACAACCTCGGATTACTAAAATTAGTAGGCATTATTGCCATTATTATACCATGAATATTATCAGTATTGCCTGACTGTTTTGTCACCGAACAGATTGAATAAAAACGTTTGACTTGCTAATTTAGAGCTCTAATGCTCGAAGTACACGTGCTTGGAGCTCACCCTACAAAACCGTGTTACTTAAATGATTCAAACACAACAATGCTCTTCACAATGTAATGCATCGTAACAAAATGGAAAAAGTGACTGACAACCTAGAAACAACATTCAAAATACGATAACATTGTATTTAAAGATATCGACTAGCACCAGAGAATCCATATCCAATACCATTTGAAGACTGCTTGCATGCAACGTTAGCTTTTGTCAACATAGCAAAGACATTCAAAGTTAACCCTAAAAAGATCGTCCTAGCGGGTGATAGTGCAGGTCAGTTGTGTATTAGTTAGACATTTATAGTAAGATGGTGAAAGCCGGAAGAACACAATTTTGTTATTCAAATCCTTCTTTTTCCACAAAAAATTCGATATTATGATGTGAATGTGGAATACTTTGAGCACAGACTATTACTTAGGTCAAATCAGTCTACAGATATAAACAAGGTTAAATTTGGTAGGTTTTTCATGTTTATGATAATCTATTAGAATAAGTTATTTTCTCTGTTTAGGGGGGAATCTGGCAACTGCAATAGCATTACGCTTAACAAATACCACGAATACGAAACTGAATCCTTGTATGCTGAATGTTGTGTATCCAGTGCTTCAAATGAGCAATTTCATGTTACCAAGCTATCAACAAAATCGAAATCCGCCTTTGCTAACTCCACCAATTATGGCGCACTTCTTTTTACTTTATATTGGGTGAGTGTTTTATTTTTTTATATAAAATTTGGTGAAAGACCTGTTACAGAAATTCACTCATCTCGCTCGCAATTGAGGTTGTGGACATAAAGGAATTCACTCCCGCAAATTAGCATTTTCCGTTCGACTTAAAAATGGAAGTCTTTCGAATATTGGTAAAGTTATTTTGAAATGTTCAAAGAAGTCATTACAATTACAATATGTTGTAATCGTTCAAGAAGAAGAATTACATGTCCCGGGTGTCTGTAAAATTTAATGCATCGTAACATAAATGCAACCTTTGCGACCTTTTTTGGTCCGCGAAATATCGGATTTTTACATATGGGATGCTCATGAGCAGTGTTGGAAAGACTCCAGTTCGACTCTAGTCGTCTTTTTCAAAAATAAGAGTACTCGACTAGAACAAATATACCTTGATTCAAACAGCAATGTAAACGTGATAAACACCGTTCTCTTGATAATTAGTTACCATGATTCTTCCAAATACAACATTAAATATTGCATATTTGGCATGTACTTTTATAGACTAGAGAAAGAGACGGAGCTGATAACACCAATGACACATAACTTACACATGGAGGGAATCGAAGACGAAATGTTATTAAAAAGAACAAGTTCAAATTGGATTCCAGATACGTATGACAGTTGATAATTTTTTTAAATACTTTAAAAAACATAGTTTTTCGCTAATATTTTGTGAGATACTTCGTAAATTGAATTTTGTACGCCACATTTGATTTATTGTTCAAGTTCACAAAATTTTTCAGATAATATATTTGGCTTTTTTGTTTAAGATACAAAAAACGAGAATATGAGAAACCTAAACTCCGTTCCACGGAAAATGAAATTAAATTACTTGAATCATATAAGAAAAAACTTCAGAAATTTGCAAATGATACAACGTTCGCTCCTTTGTCCGCTAGTGATGAAGAATTGAAGTTGTTACCCAGAACACACATCCTAACGTGTGAATACGACATTCTACGTGATGATGGGGTAAATTTTTTTAAACTTTTGTCTGATGTAAAAATACTGAATTTTATAATGACAAAAAAGTTAAATTTAAACACAAGTATATGATTCAATGTGCTAAGGCGATATATCTATTATATATCCATCAAACATATTCATGTATATTATGCGTTTTATGATATTCACCTAAATAGGAGTCGAGCCCCAGCACCTGATCACGAATGCCGAATCATCTTTGAGTCACGCCCCCATTTTATAGGGGACAAAACATAATACACTTTATTCCATATACCACAACGAATCTAGCCAAATAAGCATGTGGAAAACTTCAAACAGGATAAAAGAAATCGGCCAACACTGCTTCTCTCGCAGAACTATCCATATACCACGACGATGTCAGTTATTAGAGACATCATTAAGCACACTTCTAACATAGCCAACACAATTTCTTTGCGATTCCAGGCCAATATTATTATTCGTTCCATCATTTGAAAACACATTATCCCCCTATGAGCTTATATTTGCCTACGACGTGTTGCAGTTCAAATATTTAACCCTTTTTTTTAACAATAAACACTGTTTCCAGATTATTCTTTATGAAAGAATGAAAAAGTTGAAGCTAGATGTTTCTCAACAAAATTTGGAATTTGGTGCACACGGATTATTATCACTTTATGGAGCCGTAACCTACGATAAACTGGAAAATGCCGTTGCGTATATGATAAGCCAAATGAAACACGGGCTTAGTAAATGCTAATTACTCTGGCATATGCAAATCACATACACAAAGATTAAACTAAAATAACAATTGTAATTTGCAATATCTTTTAAACTGTGAATTCTGTTTAAGAAGTTTTATAATTATTTGGTAATTTAAATCTATGCAATTTTTATATAGAATATCAGAATGATTGTTCCCGACAAGTGCTACAAAGCCTACCAATTATTTCGTGTTTTTCAACCAATTATTTTTTAAAACTGTCAACATTACTAATTTAGAGCTGAACTTCAAAATGTGTTTTATTACCGTGCAGAAAGTCGAAATAGTTTGGTTTGAAATAACTCCCTTATATAAACAAAAAATTGGGCAACTTTCATATGATTTGTAATTTTGATTGAAAGCATTCGAATGACCAGTCAGATTTAGATGTAGTTCACATAAGCTACTTGTAGTGAAGCCATTCGAGGAAAACTTATTTAAACCGTTTTCAAAACTTTTTTACTTAAACATTATCATTACACTAAAATAAAATATCAACAATTTATCGGATGTTGATAACATACTATACGTCACTGACCTCCTAAGTAAATGTCGTATAAATCATTGGCATGGGTCGCTTGTCCTAAAATCTTAGTCGCATGCATTATGCTTAAGAATAAAATGTCCAAAGAATTGCAAGATGATAAAAAATATATAAATATCAAATAATTGGCTCCAATATGATTGGAAATAGCTTCTCAACCATGAAAAAAAGTAAGTCAAAATATTACAAAATAGAACTTCGTGGCAAATTTTAGAATAATTATTATTTAAACATTATCCAAAAACTTCCCAAACTAATGTACCAAGGATAAACACACATAAACCCCCGGCAAATCAGAACAGAATAGTAAGTAAATGATTAAATTCCAATTGCGCACTTGGATTAGTTGTGTTTTGAATAAATATAAAAAAACAGATATTAAATGACTTTTTTGTCCCTCAAAATATATTTTACTTAATAATCAAATATATATTGCATTTATTTTATTATCAATACGTCACTCAACTTCACCGTTTATACTCTAGTTCTGGTAGAAGTAGGAGGCTGAATGAAACTGGTCCCAGACGTAAAAGAGACAAAATGCGAAAATTTCACATTGCATAATTACATTAAAGTTACGTTTTACAATAGACCTTATTCATTAAAAACCCATCCTACGCGCAAAAAGAAAAGTGAAAGAAAAAAAATATTTTAACATTAGCTCTTATGGGGAATGTGATCACCAGAGCAGAAATTTGCATTTTATGTAATTTTTTAGATATCTTTCATTGTATACGTGAGCAGTTTTGAAGATAAAATATTTTTTACATCTTTTTTGATATTTTTATTATGATAAACATGGTCAAGATTTTTAATAATCGTTCATTGAAATTTTAATGAGCGCGGTGTTTCCGATGACGTCATTCTCACTAGACCATGAGATTCTGCCAACGCGCCGTGCTCTGTGGGATATGCGCTGCAAAATCTTCTTCAGTTGAAACAAGGGAGAGATGCTAAAATATATGGACACGAAACCCAAAGCAAAATAGTAGTCCACATTTCCCTCCTACGGTACCAGTACCGCCAAAAAAACTTCCGACATTGGCATAGCAAGAGTGTAGCACAAGATAGATCGAAGAACCACTACAGATAATTTTGAATTTAATTAGATTAATTTTCAATAGGTCATCACACAAAATACAATCTTTAACCACTCAAAATTTCAAAGCAATTAATGCTGAAGTTAATGAGGAAGGCGATTTTCTTTTCCATATGGTAACAACAAGAAGAAAAATACCAACAAGAACAACAACATGATACCAAAACGATCCATAGGTCCATTTTGTGTCCAATAGTTATTCTGAATGGTAAATAGTCAACCCAAGCGACATATATATGTGGACCAGATATTTTACATCCAAAGCAGGTTTTTAAATAAACTAAGCTTCATGGTTACAATGTCGTTCCCGAGAAAATGACCCAGAGTTGATTGACAAGAGTTTGTCCCAAGTTGGTGAAACCAAGTTCAGACCTGAAGATGACCACAGGCAGGCAGTACAGAATAGTCAATAAAAATACCTCATGAACTTCATTTATATACAGGATACAATGTATACACTCTCAGATCTGTGCTATTTTCATCTGATTAACATTGAAAAGATAGCAAATATATATGATATACGTTTATATATTATAAGTATGTGACTATAAGAAATAAACAATAAATACAAGATACATTACTGAAAGTGGTTTCACCAAAACCTATGACGTGTTATTAACTCTAGCTGATACGGTGGGAAAGTATTTCTAATCACGAAGTCACGGAAATTAAAATTGGTATTAAGTGGTGTCTTGGAACGGATTTTAAATTTGTGAAATATAATTGGAAATGGAATTGGCTGGCACCAAAAACATAGTTCTTCCAATTGTTCCAGAATTGCAATTTTAAGATTGATTAATTTTGTTTTTACTGTTTTAGTAGAATTGAGTTAATTTGGGGGGTCTGATAAACGAAGTGGATACACGTGGATTTGCATGTCTACGGTAGCTTAATTGAAACTCACATTTTACAATCAGCTAAGACCCAGACCTGGTAATTTCAGACTTGAGTTCGCTCTATTCTAGACTAGATCCGAAGCACAACTATTAGGTGAGTATAACAATATGAAAGTCGTTAGTATTCTGCGAGGGATGTGATATGCAAATATTTTTCAGCTATAATATGTTGAAACAGCCTAGGGCCTAGGCACTGTTGATTTACTTTACATTACTTTATTATAAGTTTTAGCTTTTTGAAACTTCAAAGGCTTAAGTATTTTCAATACCCATCACCATGAATAAAATACAGTACTAATGTCACCGCTTCAACTTAATTTTTCGTTTGTCAACACCTCAGAATGTGTTCAAAATTTTGAAGTGATTTTCTAGCGTTCTCGAAACGTTCCATCGTGTTTCATTATAGTTTACATCCAGATTTCTCAGTTGTGATCCAAACTGATATAATTCTTTTTCGCTTTGAGGTTGCTTCGGGTCTTTGATTCCCCACAATGTAACGTGAACATATATTTTAATATTTTTCATCCATATACCATCTTTTAAATATGCTAAGACATTATTATCTACTACCCACTGGCCACGTGTTGCATGATGGCCTCCATCAAGCCAATACAATTCAGAAATTCGTGCAACAAACTTTCTCACATATTTATAATCTTCGTCTTCTGACAATGCAGAATTTTCTTTCGACATATATGCAACTTCGTGCAAAAACTGATTCAAAACAACGCATCCCTTGCTAAATCCCACAACAATTATTGGCCCATTAAGTGTCGTGTTGTGAAATTTCATTGTTTGGCGTTGCCCTGAAGAAAGGAGTTTTACGAAATGGGTGAAACCACCATATGAAGCGTTATAAGGCATAACCGGAACATCGTAGCCAACGTCTTCATCAACAGCGAACGGAAGAAAGTTTGGGTAAAGACTGAAAATTCCCCCATCTCGCTTCGAAGGTTGCACAATCCATAAACAATTGTTAGGAAATTTTTTTTTGAGTATTCGTATCATTTCTTCATAACTCCAATTGATCCATTCAACGCTGAATTCGTTCTTTTTCATGTTTTTCTCGAAATCTTGTATATCCCCAGGAAAGAATACAACATGACCGTATGATTGTGATGACACAGGGCAAGAGTAAACTAAACTGTTTCGACGACCTTCTAACCCTTCTACATCTTGAAAAACTTGAAATTCCCCATCATTTTTTGGTGCGTCCGTTATTCTTGAACCACTTTGATTCAATGTTATTTCCAAGACAAGCAAAATTAAAATTAAAAATGCGACTAAAGCGAATGGCGCTTCATATGAGGAAGCTAGCATTATTGACGATGAGTTGCACTAATCTCCCTAGAACAAAAAGTATATACTATAATTACAAAACTAAACCGCTTTATCTGAAAAGCTGCATCGGATTTTTACTCCAAATCTTAGCATCAATTTTTGATCGCGATAAAATCTTACGCCACGAAGGAACATACATTCGCCCAAGGGCGTCATTGTGGTTGAAAACTGAAACGAAATCAACCGATTTAGGTTGTCAAGTAATTTATCCCAGGTATATAACACAATACATACAGACAGAAAAACATATTCACAGGGTTTAATTGAATTTTGAAGCCCAACTGAGCCACTCCTATAGTGTAAACGAGGTAAATTTAATCGACGTTCCTTCATTTTTCCACGACTACGTCAATACAGTGTAAGCGAGATGTCGGTAAACATTTGTCACTCGCAGACAAAAAGTAAATATTGTATGACTTGACGGGCAAGAATATTTTTTGCATGTAATAGTCAGATAGGAAATGCACTAAGCGTTTCACACTGATGCTACTTTTGCATGTTTAGTCAAATATAAATTTAGATTTCTCTCGAGAAGATCCAAATATCCAAAAATAATATAAATCTCGAATAGAATATAGAATATTTGATTTTCCATTTTAATAAGCTTCATTTAAGAATTAATTGTCTGCGACAAAATTAATGTTGACATCATTCGGACTACTCAAAAGAACGAACGCCCAAAATTTGAAATGGAATCCATTTCTAACTCCTGTTCCCCGGACATGAAATCCATGCTTTGCGGTTTCCTGGTGTGTGATGAAATGAACGTAGTCTTCTTTCTAATCATTTATCATGGTGGTATATCTGGCCACTCTTTTAACCTAGTAGCAAACGCTTTGCTAACCAACTCAGCATTTTCATATTTTTGCTTCGGAAGTAACAAATAAGTTTCCGCAAGATCTTTCGGCTCATCACTCAATCTTGATCTTTGGCAGCTGAGCACATTTTCTGTCTATCCAATACTTATTTGGCTCAGTGATCTTCTTATTGTAGATGAAAAGCTTGTTGTTCACAATATTCTGTGCGTCAGTGGGGGCACTGCTAAACAAGCCATTGCTATTTGTCACAGTAGAATGCAGACATTGTTGAAAATGCAAGTTATTTATAGGTATATATCCATAATACATAGCAGGAAATGGAATACTTTGCTTGGGACGTTGTCGGTAAAGTTTGAAAATGTCTGGTTGAATTAGAAGACGAATAATTATAACTAGCAGATATTTGTTACCATTGGCATCCATAACATCTTGATAATTTAGGCATCTCGCCTAAAATCCTGTTCAGTTATTCGAGAATTCTCTGTACCCTTTGACTGAAGTCACAATGGCTCTTCTTGGTATTCTGAGAAGTTTGGCATCTTACTCAAGTCCCCTTTGTTCATTTCTGATAACTCAGTCCCAATCAATCAAATCACTAACGGCTCTCCTAGCCCCTCTGACGGCTTATGCATCTCACCCATGTCCGTTTGCCTATGCCCGAGAAATTAACCGCCTCCAATTCAAGCACAGATTTATCACCTAGGCCTCCTGATGAATTAGGCACCTTACCAAAGTCCTGTTGGCTCATGTACGAGGACCGAGAACTCTGTCTTCTCCAATCGAAGCACTGATGGCTCTCCTGGGCACCCTGATGACTTAGGCATCATACTCAAGTCCTGTTTGTCTATGCCCGAGAAATCAGTCCCCTCCAATTGAGGCACAGGTTGATGGTTTATGACTTAGGCATTTTTCTCAAGTCCTGTTGGCATATGCCCGATAATTCTGTCTCCTCCAATCAAAGCACTGATGACTCTCCTGGGACCCTGATGACTGATCATACACAGTCCTGTTTGCCTATGTCCGAGTAATCAGCTTCCTCCAATTGAAGCACAGATGATGATTGCTGACTGATACTCTCTCATCATCTATTTTTGTCTAGCTAATATTTTTCTCTAGCTAATATTTTTGCAAAACTTTCAGGACTATACAATTCATTTTATACTTCAACCTCAGCGAAACAACGCTAGAATTGCTTTGTTTAGAAGTCGAACTCGTTGCCTCATTTTGGCTACAATTTGAGCAGGCTATCGAAAGTGTATCATTTCTAATATTTGCTCTGACCTTTTAGACAATTGATAGACTTGCTTAGCCACGTTTCTTGGATATTTCTTCATTTTCTTTTATCATACTACTTAAAAGTTTGGGTAACTCTACGTTAAAAAATTTAGACTCCATAGAATTAAAATTACCAGAACATGCTGGCCCGAATCTCAATACTCCTTCTGTGCTGTCTTGTATTGACGTGGTGTTATTTCTATTCATTGGTCAAAGAATAGTCTAGCAAATGTGACAATTCAACAGGCCTACTATCAGTTTCTGTTGCTACAAGCATGCAACAGCCTCTTTAATTTGAATGCCGTTAGTCTGATATCAGTGGTTCTTAAACTTTCTAAGCCGCGCCCCCCTTTGAAAAATTTTACAAACTTCGCGCCCCCTCTTTTTGCTTTGAAAAAATGCTTTTGTGATGGACAAGTTGTGATATATTAGGATGGCGCTATAAGAATGTTGGTCTCATAGCGTCATTGCTCAGATTGTTTAGGCATAAAACGCTTCGGAGTACAACTTTGCCATTCACTGTCGTATGTATAAAGCCAAATAGGGGTTGGTCGTCATACATTCTCGTTTTTCCGCTCAGTTTGCAATACTTGGCAAAGTCAAACTAATTATTAAGTAAAACTAAACAAGCAATAAATTTAATGTATTTTCTGCATTAAACGTTTACATAAGACACGTAAGATTTTAATCAATTGTTGTCGCTAAGGCATTTGCGATTGCATTTTGTTTAAATCTCCACTGTTTACGTCAGCGTGGCGTGCTATTTAAGCCCTGAAAATCTTGATTTCGGTGTTTATTCTTCCTAAATCCGAAATTTCCCTCGACATATTCATCTGCCACGAAGATGATTATAATTACTTTTTTGTTCTCGAATGGAACCATGACATCTCTGAGGAAAACGAGTTAGTTTTTATTATATAATCATCAGCGACGAGATGCTAAAGATAGAATAAAAAAGTGAATCCGTAACTAGAAATTTCTTTATCGTAAAAGTGGCATTATAAAATACTAAAAATAAAACGGAAAACGCCGTGAGTTTTGTGTTGGGATGAACCGCGACAGATTAAAAACACTTTCTTAGACATTGAAAATCTCATAAATTCCTTGTGCGTGCGGCACACCAGTAGTGTTTTAAAACTACAGACATGATATAAATTTTCCTCCGTGGGATCGCAGACTTAGGAATATCTGAAACGGTGATATCTAGAAATTAATCGAGTGGCGGCATTGCGATAGAGCGGACTAAGAGTTGCAGGGACAGCTCATATTGGTGAAATTGGCAAGAATACAAATCAAAAAAAAATGTAATCGACATTTTTATGGTTGCGGATTACCGTGTTATTTTGCAGCACTGGTGCTTTTATTATATCGACGCATTCGCAGATTTAATTTATCACAATCAAATGAATAAAGCAACCATTTTAAATAAATATATCGATCATGGATTGGCGTAATCTCGGGGACTGACTCAGAAGCCGTACCGCGGGGATTTCGTGTCGATGAATATGTATTTTTCAGATACTAATATACTTTACATGTATTTTTTAATTGTACTGAATTAAATATACTTTCTGGGATACTATACCATATCTTTCTAATGACGACAACGAGTTCGCATGAGTGCAATATATATAAAAACTAAATATAATCTGGAAGTTGATCACACTTTATTATGTCCGCGGATTGGCGTGGTATTTTAGATAGGTTATGAGTTTATTTTGTAAGGGGGGCGCGCCCCCAAGTTTAAGAACCACTGGTCTGATATGATACTACGTCACAATTCAATGAAGTTAGTACTCGTGTTTCGAAGCGTTTATTAACATGAAGAAATCCAGTATGTAGGAAATAACAATTATACACGGGACAAGTCCAGGAAATTAATAAAACATACCGATATGTAGCCAATTCTCTTCCAATTGAAGTGATAACCAAACTTTCTTTGCCAGATCAAGTCCATGCTTGATGCACCGAAACGATATTATACCGATATGCACCGAAACAACACTAACGCACTAAACTCGTGCTTCAAGCAGAAGACAAGAAGTGAGATCTATTCTGGAACTTTCTATACAAAATCATTCTAACTATGATGTCATATAATAACGCCTGTCAATCAACCTAAATACACTGATGCAAACAGCTGCAGTAACATCTTCACTTGGCGATGGTGCCACGTTGGCCACATCAGGTAATTCAATTGCATCACACTACTCATACACTGCGGTTAGTCATTTGATCACCATGTTCATATATATGAATATTGCTCTCTTGTCAAATAATAACATACTACGGCACTGACCTTCAAGTGAATATCGTATAAATAATTAGCATGATGGTTTTGAAACGTATTCTATGATCTTAGTCGTATGCATGCATCATGCTTAAGAATGGAATTTCTTTCGAATTACCAACACAGGATGATTACAAGGAGAGTAGCACCATTGAGGTGTATATAAACTGGAGATAGGTCGAAGAACCGCTACAAATAATTTGGATTAATTTTCAAAAGGTCATCACACAAAATTTGAAAGTGAATAACGAATTGCATTGAGCCCACAGATAGTTGTGAAATGATTGAATATAACTTTTAGCGAATATACAATCTCTGATCACTGACAATTTCAAAGCAATTGATCCAGTATACTAACTATATATATACAGTACATTAACTATAACTTCCTATAGGTAATGGAAAAGCGATTTTGTCATACGGTAACAAAATAATAGCAAAACGATCTATAGGTCCATTTCGTGTCCAATAACGCTTCGAATTATTCTGAATGGTAAATAGTCACCTCCTTCGACACACGTGGGAACAATAAATTATATCCAAAACAGGTTTTCAAAAAAACGTAATTTAAAATTAGTTCCATTACCAATTAACATGTCTTTCCCGACGAATAACGAAATATTGTAAGGTTGTATTGCATTACTGTGTCTGTAGTAAGTGCCACAATATCTATCGAAGTTTGTTTTATAAATATTGAAAATTTCACGCTAAATTTGGACACATGGCTATTTTAAGAAACCGTGAATATAGATTTTTTTATTAGACTGGTAAACTAGAGCTACCAATTGCATATCTTTGATGTTCTAGTAATGATATACAATGCCCAAAATATTGAATTGTTGATAACATTCGTCAAATGTTTGTTACTTCACAAGTACGCGTATTTAAATAATATCTGTCTGCACATAAATTAAACCACTGGCAGTACAGAATAGTCAATTGAAATAGGCTACTCCATGAGATTTATTACAGTATCGACAATATATATATACAGAATACAATGTATACACTTTAAGATTCATGCTGTTATATTCTGATTAACATTGAGGAGATAGCGAAATATATGTTTTTACAAAGTATGTGAATATAAGATTAAACAGTAAATACAAGATAACTATACTTTATTGAAAGTGGTTTCCCCAAAACTTATGACGTGTTATTCACTCTAGCTGATACGATGGGAAAGTATTTATAATCACATTTCAATCGAAATGGTGGGAATGAAAAGTGGATAATAAGTCTTGAAAGAGATTTTTAATTTGTGGAATATAATTGAAAATGAAATTTTAAAATTGGATGGTACCAAAAACATATTAACTTCCAAAATTGCAATTTTACTATTAATTGCACTGTTTCTACACGAATCGGGTTCATTTGGGGGTTCTAATGAACGATGTGGCTACTAGTAGATTTGCATGTCTACGGTCTTTTATTTGAAACAGAAATTTTACAATCAGCTAAGACTCAGTCCTGGTATTTCAGACTGGAGTTCACTCTATTCTAGACTAGATCCGAAGCACACTCATTAAGCGAATAAAGCAATATGAAAATCGTTAGTTTTTTGCGAGGAATGTGACTTGAGAATATTTTTCAGCCACTATATGTTGGAACAGCCTAGACCACTGTTGATTTACTTTATGTCAATTTAATAATGGATTTTAGCTATTTCAAACTTCATAGGCTGAAGTATTTTCAAAAATTTTCGCCAAAGATGAAATTAGAGTAAAGTATACTATAGTTCCACCGCTCCAATTTCATTTTTCGTTTGTCAACGCCTCAGAAACTGTTCAAAATTTTGAAGTGATTTTCTAACGTTCTCGAAACGTTCCATCGTGTTTCATTATAGTTTACATCCAGATTCCTCAGTTGTGATCCAAACTGAGATAATTCTTCTTCGTATCGAGGTTGCATCGGGTCGTTGATTCCCCACAATGTAACTTGAACATATATTTTAATATTTTTCATCCATATTCCATCTTTTAAATATGCTAAGACATTAGAATCCACTACCCACAGGCCACGTGTTCCACTATGGCCTCCATCGAGCCAATATAATTCAGAAATTTTTGCAACAAACTTCCTTACAGATTTATAATCTTCGTCTTCTGACAATGCAACAGAATATTTTTTCGACATATATGCAACTTCGTGCAAAAACTGATTCAAAACAATGCATCCCTTGCTAAATCCTACAAGAATTATTGGCCTATTAAGTGTCGTGTTGTGAAATTTCATTGTTTGGTGTTGCCCAGAAGAAAGAAGTTTTACGAAATGAGTTAACCCACCATGTGACGCGTTATGAGGGATAACCGGAATACCGTAGTCAACGTCGTCATTAACAGCGAACGGAAGAAAATTTGGGTAAAGACTGAAAATTCCCCCATTTCGCTTTGAAGGTTGCACTACCCATAAACAGTTGTTGGGAAATCTTTTTTTGAGTATTCGAAACATTTTTTCATAACTCCAATTAATCCATTCAACGCTGAGATCGTACTTTTTCATGTTTTTCTCGAAATCTTGTATATCTCCAGGAAAGAATACAACATGGCCATATGATTGTGATGACACAGGACAAGAATAAACTAAACTGTTCCGGCGACCTTCCAAGCCCTCTATATCTTGAAAATTTCGAAATTCCTCATCATTTTCTGGTGCATCAGTTATTGTTGAACCACTTTGATTCAATGTTATTTCCAAGATAAGCAAAATTAAAATTATAAATGCGACTAAGGCGAATGACGATTCATATGAGGAAGCTAGCATTATTGGCAATGAGTTGCACTAATCTTCCTGGAACAAAAAGTATTAAAATTACAAATCTATTCCGCCATATTTAAAAAGCTGCATCGATTTTTTACTCCAAGTCTTTGTATCGATTTTCGAGTGAGATAAAATCTTGCGCCACGAAAGAGCATACGCCCAAGGCCGTCATTGTGGTTGTAAATTGAAACGTAATAAACTGATGTAGGTTGTGATGTCATTTATACCAGGTGTATAACAATACATACAATCAGAAAAAAAAAAACATATTTACAGGGTACGAATTTGAAACCCAACTTTACCTCTCCTAGTGTAAATGGGATCAATTTAATCGATGTTCATTCATTTTTCCACGGTAATACAGTGTAAGCGAGAGGTTGGTAAACTTCTGTCATTTGCAGACAAAAAGTAAATATTGTATGACTTGGCAAGCATGAATATTTTTTGCATGTAATAGTCAGATAAGAAATGCACAAAGCGTTTCGCACTAATGCTATTTTTTGCGTGGTTAGTTAAATTTAAATTGAGATTTCTCTCGAGAAGGTCTGAATATCCAAAAATAATATAAATCTCAAATAGAATATAGATTATTAAATTTTCCAGTTTAATAGGCTTCATTTGAGAATTGTCTGCGACAAAATTAATGTTGACATCATTCGGAGTACTCAGAAGAACGAAAACCAGAAAATTGAGAAGAGAATTCATTCGTAACTCCTTTTCCCCAGACATGAAATCTTTGTGGTTTCCTGGGTTTGACAAAATTAACGAAGTTATTAAATAAGCATTTCTCGAATGCGCGTTTGAGTCATTCAGGGTCGCGAAATTCAGTACAACACTTTATTTCGCTTCTGGGAAATGGAAAATAAAGACATTCCATTGCGTACACTCCTCTCTAGCAACCTGTGCTATTGTCTATATTCAAAATGATATTCAAAACTCAAATATATATATATATATATATTCTGTTCTTTTTTAGATATTTCATCAAAATCTGATGTATTAGGGCTTTCGATCATTTTATGAAGCTGCCGAGGCTGCAAAAGATGTGGCGCAGCTTGTACTGCCTGGCTAGATTCCGTTGATATTTATGTCGTTAATAAGTTAAATACTAAATCTTCTGTTATTATTTGTTCAAGTCAGAGCGCGTGATGCAATTTTTTTCATATCACTGTTATCTGAATAAACAATAAGCGCGTGATTGTGACGCGGATTTGTGTCGTGCTTGATATCTTCAATGAAATATAAAAGTGCTGCCTGAATATTTAAAAGCACAAATGTAGCTAAACGCATTTGGGAGTAAGACACGTGTTTGTGACTCGCTAATTGCAAATAGTCCTCCATACTATTTTAGTGACCTTTAATAGTGCTTCGACTCATTTCATTATTAGTAGTAACAAAGGGTGCAATTTCAGGCAGTGTGTCGTTAAAGCTTCATTAGTTCGATTATTATATTTTGCAACACGTTTTATGATTTTTTTATGATTTATGTTTGTTGTTCACCTTTTGTCTTTAGATATTTGAGAATCGCTATACTCTCACCCACACATCATGAAAATTAACACTTATGTCATCATAATTATGATGACTGGATTTTGCGTAGGTGCCGCGATGGCGGATTCTCGTCCTAATATTTTGTTCATATTAGCCGATGACTTTGGATTCAATGATATTGGATATCATGCCAGTGAACATGAATCAGCAATAAAAACTCCTCATTTGGATTTCTTGGCTGAGAACGGAATAAAACTCGAAAATTATTACGTTCAACCAATTTGCTCGCCAACCAGGAGTCAACTAATGAGTGGTCGTTATCAGATTCATACAGGTTTGCAGCACGGAGTGATTCGACCTTCACAACCAAACGCGTTGCCAATTGAAAATAAGATCATGCCTGAACAATTAAAAAATTGTGGCTACGATACACACATGGTGGGAAAATGGCATCTTGGTTTTTATGAAGAAAAATTTTTGCCATGGAAAAGAGGTTTTAACTCGTATTTTGGGTATTTAACCGGAGCTGAGGACTACTATACTCATGAGCGATGTTTCAATGGAATGTGCGGAGAAGATATGTGGGATTCTGAAATTGGACCCGTGAATAACACATGGGGTGAATATTCCGCTCATTTATTCGCTAGAAAAGCAATTGAGGCAATTGACAAACGTGATTCTACAAAACCGTTGTTCATGTATTTGGCATATCAATCTGTACACGGGCCTTTGCAAGTGCCAGATAAGTATACTGAAATGTTCAAAGACATTAAAGATAAAGCACGAAGAACTTACGCTGGAATGGTGTTAGCATTAGATGAGTCAGTTTATAATGTGACTCAGCACTTAGCTAAAGTTGGTATTCTGGATAACACTATCATTGTGTTTTCCACTGATAACGGCGGCCAGACTATGGCCGGTGGTAATAACTGGCCACTAAGAGGGAGGAAAGCCACTCTTTGGGAAGGTGGCGTTAGAGGAGCGGGATTCATGTATGGTAAACTACTCGAGGCTAAATGTGTGACACATAAGGGGCTGTTACATGTTTCAGACTGGTTTCCGACACTACTACAAGGTGTCGCAATGTGTTCAACATTAAATGGTACCCAGCCATTAGATGGATACAATCAATGGGACGCCATTCGTCAAAAGGAATCATCGCCCAGAACGGAAATTTTACATAACATTGACCCTTTGTATAGTGCCAATTCAAATGAGACAGAAATGCAAAACATTATTATCAATGGATTTGACATTAAGGTTCACGCAGCAATTCGAAGCGGACCTTGGAAATTACTAACTGGAAATCCGGGCTTTGACCAATGGGTAAAACCTCCCGAATCCGAACAAAATGGAGTTGGCCAAATGACCTATGCTAATTCGTCCTCAAATGTAATGTTGTTCAACATAGAGAATGACCCTTATGAACATAACGAAGTATCCGAAATGAATCCGACAATAGTTCAAAATTTTCTTAGTAAACTCGCTAAATATAATTCAACTGCCGTTCCTGTTAGATATCCACCAATGGATGCGAAGGCGAATCCCAAAATGCATGGTGGCTTCTGGAGTCCTTGGATGAAATAATTGTAGAATAACGTGTACTGTGCTGTGTGCTGTGCTGTGTTTACAATTACAGTAATTTGATTGCCTAATAAAAATAACATTATATTCAATTATATAAATAGTATTATACTTTTTTTTTTAATTCTAAAATCTAGGTTAAAACAACCATCTACATATGCAATTTTCTGAGATATATCATATGATTTATTATATATAATATATTCAAAGGACTTAGTAGTTGTTACTGGTTTGTCTCCCAATTATAGAACAACGTTTTAAAGTAGGTTTTTATCGAATTAATCCCGAGATAGGAACTACAAAATGAATTGAAACCTCGTATTTCGGATCCCAATCGCAATTACAAGGAATTGGGCGAGATTCGGAAGCAGAATTGGTGTAATAAGAATTCACACAATTTCGGATTCGATATCACGTCCACCTCGTTTTCATCGAGTCCTTATTTATTTTTGTTTTAACTAACCGGCGCCTTCGTTATATATATATATATATATATATACATTCACTTCCAAAAAGCTCAGTTAAAAAACGATATTCGTTCGAAATAATGCGAAGATCTCCATTGACATACAAATATAATGTATAACAGACTATTATCAAAAAAAAATAAGATTCTCGTCGTTAGCGACCACCAAATCGAATGCTTCTCTAAACTTTAGTAATTTGATGTCAAGTGTACTCTACCGGTGTTCTAAGGCAAATCCATGAAAACACAGCAATGAGTTTCTTTGGAATATTTTAGTGAGTTGGTTAGATGATAGTATATTACTAGAGTCCTAGACAATCAAACATAATTCGTTCAAGATTGGTATTCGACTACCGATGACATAAGAAACAATGGTTATTATTTTAATTCGTTCTTACGCCTTTGAAATCACAAATGTGTACCTAAACAACAATAAACATTCAAATGTGTACCTAATGAAAATTGAACAATAAGAGGTCAATATATGTATAAATCGCGTATCAGTTACTGTACGTTTGAGCAAATTACTGTGGTTTCTATGGGATTCGTTTTATGTATGAGATGAAGTCATCAAAAATTGCACACATTTTGGCGGTTCCACTTTTGTGTTAGTCGATAAGATTGCTGTATACTGGTAGTCTACTGTGACAGATTGAATACCCGAACTACTCCGTTTCCATATATTTGAGCATCGATCTCTTGTTGAGTGGTCAAGAGATGCGCGGTTTGGGTGACGTAATCTCACTCGGTGGCGTGCTCGGGTGTTCGGGCATCGAATTTCTGTTCAAGTACAGCAGCATTTTTGACTAGAATATTTGGTACTCCCGTAGTATGTGAACCAAGATGGCGGACACCGGGACGTAGTATGTGTACCAGGTTGGGGGTTCGACCACAATCTCAGGTAAAAACACTTCGGGAGTCACTTGGCTAGTCCCCAAATTCGTAATAGAACTAAAACAAAGAAAATTGGAATAAAATTATGGCCTAAGCCGACCTGCTACACATACTATGCTCAGGTGTCCGCCATCTTGGTCCACATACTACGGGAGCGCCGAATTTTTCAGTCGACTTACGAATTGTTCGATTATCGAGGTATGACTGTATATTTAATTAAAAGGAAACCAAGATGTCGGCAATTGTTCTCATAAAAGAATGCATTCATTCGCCTTTATTCACTATTGAAATGGATGCACAGATACCAAACTTATCAATTAATAGAAATTTAATCAAAGAAAACGAATGACAGAATAAGATTCTTGAATATATTATTGATTGGTATTAAGATTGGTATTCGACTACCGATAACATAAGAAGCAATGGTTATTTTTTTCAATCCATTCTTACGCATTCTAAAATACCCAAAATATTAACAAATGTGTACCTAAACAACAATAAACAACACCTAATGAATATTGAACAAAGGGAGGTCAATATATATATAAATCGCGTATCAGTTGCTGTACGTTTGGGCAAATTACTGTGGTTTCTTTGGGATTCGTTTTATGTATGCGATGAAATCATCAAAACTTGCGCACATTTTGGCGGTTCCACTTTCGTGTTAGTCAAGAAGATTGCTGTATACTGGTAGTCTATACTGTGACATATTGGATACCAAAACTCTTTCATTTTGGCTTTCTTTTCCATATAGTCGAGCATCGATTGTTGATTTAATGTTGAATTGTCGAGAGACAGGCCGCATGATTTTCGGGAAATGATAGTAAAACATTTCGTTATAGACGTGTCCATATATTCGAGCATAGCACTCTGGTCAGTTATAAAAAGCGAAATATATTCAGCATTAACAATATACTTCGTGAAAGGGCTGATGGACACATGTATAATAGTTATGAATACAAAGTTAACAAAGTCCGTAAATTTTGTTGTTCGCATGTCTCTTCGTACATGTAGTCCTATTTCTTAGATGCTAAACCTAAATTTAACAATTTTTACTGAATTTTATTCCAATGGGAATCTTGTGGGACGGGGCAGGTATATTTGCTACGGGATGGGAATGGGATAGAATGATATATGTCCCACGGACAAGCCTGCGAATTCCTGTTCGATTACCGCAGGTTATCGCATTATTGACTAGAATTGTTTAGTCGACTACCGAATTGTACGATTGTCAAGGTATAATATAAATGTATATTTAATTGAAAGGAAACCAAGATGTCGGCAATTGTTCTCATATAAGAATGCATTCATTCGTCTTTATTCAGTATTGAAATGGATGCACAGATTCACAAAACATATAAATTAATAGGAACTTAATGAATGAAAACGAAATACAGAATAAGATTCTTGAATATAATAAACTATAATTAATGGAAAAGACTATATGCAGGCTATTGTGTCATAAGATATTTCCAGAATACACGCCATTGTGGCAATTGAAATGATATTCATTAAATTATGCATCATTATTGTAGTATTGTAGATATAGAGGCTTACCTATGTTCACTATTGAATTCTTTGTATATGCGCAGGATACTGAATATGCACGTAGAAAATATAAATCCACGCTGTGGAGGGCAGGATAACACAACACGCCGAAGAGCAAAGACCAACTGTTTGAAAGCAACGAGGTATTTATTTCTATTCTTTTGTCAAATAGCTATGGTGATTGGGATGCGAACCAAAGTCATCTAACGACGGCGAGACTGAAATTAACTATGCGATCTATTTAATTCTCTATGTTTTACTGACTTTGGTCAATAGTTATTGATCATCGGGTTCGAAACCGTCATCAAACAATCTGTGTATTAATTTGTTTACATCATACGTTTCAGAATAAAGAAAATCTTCAAAGAAAATGCGTCTGAAAGTTGCAGCTATTCTTTTTGTCGCATTCTCTCTCCTACTGGTGGAGGAGTCTCGGGGCTGGAGGAGAATCTTTCGACGAGTAGGAAGGATAGTTAAGAGGGTTGTGAAGGCCTACAAACGTGTTAGAGGAACTACGTAAGTTTCTTTACATTGCTCCTATAAATATTTAATTTATTACACTGAACAGTTTATTGTCTTTGCGAGCGCTCCAGAAGTGTGTGTATCAATATGATGGTAACTAATTTTGATCGCCTATTTTACATCAAGTTGCGTAATGGGACTAAAACCTATGGACTGGGGGATATTCACTTGGCTAATAAAGACAGTCTCCGAACTCGTAATAGAACTAAAATAAGTAAAAATTAGAATAAAACTATGGCCTAACTATTATAATCTGGTACACATACAACGGGAGTACCCCATCGCGACTAATTTATGATATTATAGATGAATTCTTCGCATGTCACACACCTCAAATGTACTAGACTGATAGTGTTTTTTGTGTATTCTTAACATTAAAATAAAAATTTTAAGTTCAGTGGCAAGAATTTACTTTTTTAAGTTGCAAGTGACGTCCAAGTTAAGTAGCAAGTGACGTTCAACTTATTTTCAAGCTCAATTTTTTTCATTGATATTTTTCACGGAAAATTATATGAATAAAACTATAGTCTAAGTGGGACGGATGAAACACTTCGACAGGCCGGATACGGCCCGATGCCACAATTTGCCCACCCGATTTAAACAATAAAAAGAACAAATTTATTTTGAGGTTAAGTTTTCGGTGTGTCCGTGGTAAAAATAAGAAACACTTTCTCCAGTGCGATATAAAATTCGAATATCAATTTTCTCTGATGCTTAGTTTTTGCGGTGCAGGGAGTCTAATTAAAAAAATTGAAACGACGATTATTATATTCTTCTATATATTATACTCTTCATTTATTTGAATACTTACGACACTTTACTTTTATAGCGGGGGCCACATTGCAATAGAAGCGGTCAAAAAATATCTTACAACTGTATGGAACAACAAAGAAGAAATCAATGAGCTGAGAGAGCTGAGAGAAAAGGTAATCCACTATAATCTGTTTGACATAAAGCTAGCGTTTATTAAAGTGTTGACCGTTTTAGCATCACAGGTTACAAATCTCGAGTTTAAATTCTAGAGATATAAGTGATACTTGTGCAGGGGCAAAAGTCGCGAATACGTGTCGTATGAAGATCAAATGTTTAGGTTTTCCATTTACATTGCAAATGTCGTAAAAATTCTTCGCTTTACCGCGAATGCCCGTGACGAAATATTATTGAAACAATCCTACCTGGCGTGAACTATTTGCTATTAACTGATAAAGCAGAGTATTGAATGGCAACTCTTGAGTATTGCCCATATTTACGAGTCAATGTTAATATGATTAACTGGGTATTCGTCTTAGAAACGTGTACTTGAGAGTTAAGGAAGCCCCAACTGTTATGCAAAAAACCCACGACGCCAAGGAGTACAGCAATCCTGTCGCACATAATTATACCCGCTGAATTTCAACCTGCACTCTCGCATAGAGTAATCAAAAGATCAAATAGCAACGTGTTCCTAACGCCAAGCACAACGCCATAACCGTTGACATTGGTTACTTTTGTAGCTTCCAAATTTCAGCACAACTTTCTCTTTGTTTAGGACGAAGAAGCCTATATGAAAGCAATGTCCATGATCGCTGATGAAATTGCGGCAGAATCTGGAGATGGTGAAGCTCAGTTCATGGTGGAAATGTTGGACGAACTTGCCAGCATGCCTGACGGTAATTTGTTTAATTTGACGGTAGAGTGTTTGCACTGGATACGAAAGAACTGATATGTAGGGTGTTATAACGTTTGGAAATAGGCCAAAATTCTCCTATTCGATATTTAGTCAAGTCACAGTATTTCACACATTGTAAGTTCACGAGTCTGACCATACTTTTAGCTCTATCTGAACCCTTAACCTAGAATGTTGCGAATATCACTGGATTGCGCGAAGCAACTTTAAATTGAATAAATAGCAATTGCACGTCCCTTTTTCAGAATTTGTCAAGTCTCGCGCCCCACCTCCAAAAAAAAAAAATAGCTAACAATAAGCAACAAATAACAGATAGTTAGGCGAAAGTATGTTTTATTTAAAAAACGCGTTAGAAATACGTGGATGGAACGTAAATAATGAAAAAATGAAAAGTTTTGAAATGTAAAGAAGGCCGGCAAGATGAAATCTGATGAATATTTTCATTTTTAGTTAGCTTCACGCCTTCAAAAAATTGTCTACGCGCGCCACCGTTCGAAAACCACTGGCCTGATTGATCTATTTTCTGATTTTACTGGACTTGACAAGATTTTGTTCAAAACAGTCGATTCAATTTGTGACTTTCTCCTATAACATACACTATTAACGTCCTTTCACTTCTATTTCAGAGGAATTCAAGCAATTCGTGGCTGAGCATGAACTTGAAGAAATTGCAGACTCCGGCGAGCTACGGTTATCAGATCATTAAAATGGAGTTTCTTGACGGACAGACCGAGAAACAGACAACTCGTTTTAATTTTATACTTTAGTTTTTTTATTGTTTTACAAAGATATTGCAGATTCAAAAAAAAAAAAAAAATAACAAATGAATGGCGCCACCATAAATTGAAATTGTATTTTATTTTTTCCTGCTACAGTATTAGTCAAGACGGTGGTTCTTAAAGGTAATTTACCGGGGGCCAAAATTAGAAGCGGGACGATATTTGCGCGCCGGCAAGGGGCAGATGCTTCTGTCGGTACGTATTATCAAGATACCAATATAATTGAATTGTTACGATTATACACGTGCTTAAATTGTGGTAATGACGTCACAATTGGGGATATCTAAAGATAGAGAGAGTGTTGAATTATTTCACTTAAGTTCGGCGGGTCGTAATAAACCGTTACGCGAGCCGCTCAAAAACTGAATGAATGGCTGATGAATCAAATTTTACCACACGGATCAGAAGTTAATTTTAAGCAGCGCGCGAAGACTGACAATTTGATTATTTTCAGCGCCATTGAACCATTTGCACATAGCATCAACTTTTCTGCGTTTTGTTGCCATTTGTCTAATTATGGTAGATAGAATTATAGGCTCATTAATAAACGAGTAATTGGGAATTTTATACTTGTTGCGTTATAATCTGTTCTACGTAAAGAATATAATCGTCAAAACAGCTGCTTTGTTACTATAATTCAGTGAAGCGTCGCGGGCCGGATTATATTGCTCCGCGGGCCGTGGTTTGCCGACCCCTGTTCTGGGGGCAAAAGGGAAGCATACTTCATGGTTTTGGGTGAAAGTTCTCAAGTAACGAGTCAAATCTCGTGCCCCGATAAATTTAAAAAACTTTATATTAGGGGAAGGTGGGGCACGTTGGGACATGGTGCACAGTGGAAAATCAGCTCTCACACTAATACTATATTCGAAATCCGGTCCGCGGTTTGATGTTTCAATCCGCCCTTCGGTGAGTTGCAACGTCCCCGCAAACGGACAGCGGACGGGTAGAGCGACGCAAGCTATGAGGTGAAATTGGTTTTGGGGGGTTTAAACTAAAATTTCACCATTCCAGTTTTTTCTTTTTTCTAACTTAGCCTTTTCAACGTGACAAACCACCGACTGATATCTTTCAGCTATAGTTCACTGTTAAATATTTATAACGTTGGCGAGTGGATGTGCCTTCCGAATTTCGCCGTGGGATGATCTGAAGATATTTGTTGATTATGGGGAACAATGGACCGGGGTTCAGTGGGACATGCCCTACATGGCACAATTCGACAGTGTTTGATATAACAAGTGCTTAGAGACCTAGAGATGCGTTATATTTTTATGTAACATTATGGTATCTTTCGACTCATGGTCCAATATGAAATATATTCGAGAATCAAAAATATTTCCAGATTTAGATTCGGATTAGAAAATAATTTAATTTGTAAGCGAATTTGTTGATGAAATATCTGAAATATTTCGGTTGAACATTGATTTTAAAAAATCTCAAATCTTCAAATTTGAGGTCTCCCTGTTCTTTAGACGATTATGCTGATTGATTGCTTATTTTTAAGGGCATATTTCGTTGAATTTTAACAGAATGACCCATTGTGCCCCAGGGTCTGTCCGAATGTGCCCCACAAGTGGGATGCAGTAGGACACTTGACAAACGTTTTTCAAAGCATTTTGGTGGTAAGATGTGTGTCGCAAGGGAATTTCTTAGTCGCTGAATAAAAACTACATTTACCCCTCCATGCATTAATCCCGCAAAGTCATATGAATGTGCAGAATAAAGGGCTCAAAATATGAAAAAGAAGAAAAGTGTCCCAACCTTCCCCACTTTCCCCTACTAAGTCGAGTTACCATTGTTCCAAGTCAAACTGTTCCTAACTGTTTTGAGTTCTACGTCACCTATAAAGTGCGAGGGTGCTGCCCTTGAACAGGGATCGGCAACCTATTGTCGCTCGCGGGCCAAAACTAAAGGTTGCAAATCTTTGTGGTCGCACATATTTTTTTTAAGTGAGTTTAAAACCAAACGGGTGGTTGATGAACCACATTTTTTACACAGATCAGTAAGTTAAAATTTTAGACCTAAAATAGCAAGCGAACACTGCCACTCGTGGACTCAAGTCGTCTTACTTGGCAAAAAAATTTAAAAATGACATTTATTGTGATACTTGTTGTTGCATTACGCTTGATAGCTTTTCGACACCAGGTGACACTCTGGTCACCTGGCATTGTTTGCCAAATTTGAATACAAATTTCCTTCAAGTAGATACTTTTTTTAGAAATCAAGCAGACAACAACATTTTAAGAAAACGATTCATATGTCCACACCGTGTTCAATATAATCTGCTCCACGAGCGTTTTGTCGCTAAATTTCAGTAAAGCATCGCGTGCCGGATGATTTTACTCCGCGGGCCGTAGGTTGCCGACCCCTGCCCTAGAACTTCGGCGCGTGTTGAGACTGGGCCACCTTGGAAGTCCGCTATAAGGTCTTTGTTAACAACGCGTAATATGTAGAAATTCGTAAAAGTAAAGTATTTTGAGCGCATCGTTCTAGTAATTAACATTTGATATTTGTGGTATTGGGCTTATTGCTATCTGCTTCGTCGAAAATATTAAAGTAACAATACTAAACAATTGTATAAATGCATCGTGGTAATTTGTATCTTAAAATCTAGCAATGCGTTATGCAGCCACATCATCTGGCCTTGCTGACGCATGCTATTCATCCCTTGAAACTGATCAGACCGCCGTCGAACGCTGACATGGTGTTAAACGGTGGAATACTGGAGTATATAAGTATAAGTAAGAAATTTTTGGACGAAAACTTGAAAAACCGGACTAACATAGATCCTCCTGAGAAGATAAATACAAACTAAAATCTAAACGATAGCCTACTGGTAAATTCTGTGCACGGGCACTCATAAAAACAATTATCAGGAAAAATAATAAATTACAATATGTTCTAGGAATCAAGTAGATTCAGATAAATTTTTTTATCATGTAAGAATCAATGCAAACACAACATAAACTAGTCGGATACATTACCGATACGATATGGGTGAGTTTGCATCAGATCACGCTGGCCTGCATGGAGTTTATCACGAAAAACTGGTCGAAGCGGAGGATAACATGAACTGCCAAACGTCAGATGTAACGGATATTTCACGATGAATTCCAAAAAAGACTGCTTACGCAATACACATGGATTTTGACTGAAACTGAAGTTGGAACGCCAGAGCGTGAAATTCTCTTGTCATATTTTGCTTCGTTTGTTGTTGTTTACTTTTACGCTGCTTTTATTATTATTGTTTATGTCCAGTAGACTATTAGTTGAGTGCATGTGCGTTTGTAATCACATAAATCATCACCAATCGCGCACCGCTTGTTTGTTGTATTTAACACTTCTCGTTACCTATACAGATATATATAGTAGAAACTGCCATATATATAGCGAAGTTTGATATGGATATCACAAAATAGGCCTTCAAAAGTATTAATATTGTGCGATTGTCTTTCTGCATTGGAAAGCATACAAAAAATTTGGAATGTTAAGCATTTTTTATCGACAAAAATACAACTACTTCATTCTATTATTTGTCACACGACTGATATCAAGTTTCTGTGGATACCAACCAGCACATATTGGTATTAGCGGTAATGATGCAGTGGATCGACTGGCGAAAGACGTAGCAAATGGAATTGTCATCAATGCTGTTTTTCAACGGTCATTGAAAGAAGCTAAGACATTGTGCAAGCAAGCATGTCTTGCAAAATGAAATTTACCATACCAAGCTAACGATACTGCAAGCCATTATAAGAACTTTCGAACTCATATAGCCCAAAAGACTGTCTATTTCAATTTTTCCCGCCAAAAAGAAATAGTATTTTTTCGTCTTCAAACTGGACATATCAGACTCAACTATCATTTATTTGAAATAGGGCTACATTCCACAGGGCACTGTATTCGATGTGATACAAATGAACTGTTTCCCATTTTATATTGTCCCAGGTATAATAACTTACGATGCGAATTAAGACGTGAAGCAGCAAAAATGAATGTGCCCTGGGAAAGTATTCGTATTTTCAATGTTCCTGATTTGATTCAATTTATTATTAGTTTTGCTATATCCACCAAACGAGAGCTGTGTACCTATTTTATTGTACCATACTGACTACTCTCTTTGTTATTTGGCGCAAAAGATCCGGTTGTAAAAGACGCCAATAAACCTTTTACCTTACCTTAACTGCAGTCCATGTTCAAACTCCGCATCCACACCAAAGTATTTACGCCCGAATTATCTTTTGTGTATTTTTTTTTAAATTTATTCCAATTGTGTTGTTTGCTGTTTGGTGTCAAAGCCCGTATGTTTGGGGTAAGGGGGCACGTGCATCAGCACGTCTGAAATCCTTTTTAGATTTCGCCCACTTTCCTGATTTCTCGTTTATTTGTTTGTTTTGCCATGTATTGTTTTGTTGTAACGGAAAATCGAAAAAAACACATACATTTACTTATTTGCATTTGGCCAAACGCCAATATCACTAGAATTCGCCAAATCTGGCAATTACCTACCGGACCGGACCTTTCCAAGCGAAGAATTACGACAGCCGAAACAAAAAACCTGGCAACATTGGTTATACAGCATGTTGCAAGTTTTCTCGAAAGTGTTTAGGTTCTCTATCTGCAGATTTGCGCTACCGCCAGTATCGCATTGTTTGATCTTTCATTTAACAGATTCAACGTTCAGACGTTGGTAGCGGTAGTCTAGTACCGTAAGTAGTGAAGTGCGTAGGTCTGCCCATAAGTTGAAACAATAATAAAGCGTACTATGTCTGGATGTGGGACTAGTATATAAAATGGGTTACCGTACCGGTACCGGTACTGGGTTACCGGTATCATATTTGTTCAAAATGTCTGAATGTAGAAAATCCGGGTCTCGGGTAGTTAAGTACCTAAACAAAAACTTCTAGTGGACGTACCGGTAGCACAACAATTTTTCTACAGGACAATCCTAACCCCCACCTGACTACGCCATCCAAAAATTATGTCACAATCACGTCATAGAGCAGTAGAGCTTGCCAAAGTATATCTCCGATCGCCTAAAGTCTGAAAGTGGCATCTGCGTCGATGATAAAGAACTCACTAACGGCAGCGATCTCTTATATCGGGATCGCTGCTTGGAGAAAACGAGATAAATAGCTTGATCGAATCAACATTTAAGCACTAAAAATATCAAAAACGCATTTCTATATACCTAAAACACCGCCGTAGAAAATGTGAAAAGACGGACAACTCACCAGGCCTCTCTGTAGTCGAGTTGTCTCTGGTGAGTTGTCCGTGTAGTCGAGTTGTCCGCATCCCAACCGTAGTGCTGTAGTGACGTACCGTAATTTTTGGATGACGCAGTCAGGATTGACATAGATGCTAAAGTTGTTATGCTACCGGTACGCGTACGCCCACTAGAAGTACCTCGGGCAGTCAGGTACGAAACTAAATAGAACCCGAAAATCCGGGGGTCTCCTTAAGTACACGCCGCAAGTAGGGTGGTGGAGCCAGTCTGTGGACAATTAAATTCAAATCGTTATAAAACAAAAACCAATATTTCTAACCTGTTAATTTTTTCACAGTAGGTGCATTGGCATTTATTCTACACGCTAAACTTCGAAATAACTCCCTATGACGAGGGGTTCAAGCTATACAAACCACCAAAGTACGACACTCGGAAGACAAATTTGTGATCGAACGACCAGTGTGCGACCACGTATTTCAAGCCTTGAACATCATTTCTGCTGTGTCAAGACTAGAGCATACGCAGCCATGCGGGAAAAAATTGGGCTTATACAGTTATAATTGCATTTCTGACTGTCATATTTTAAGAACACAGTTATTTCTGACAAAACTCGTCAAATTATAAACAAAGCAACGCATCACAGCAATCAAACAGACAAAAACACTGTCTGACGGTGGTCGCAAATTGGTCGACAAAGATATTATCGGCGTATTGGACATGCGCACCCCCCTATTCCCCCCTCCTTTAAATGTAGAAACGCGAAACTTTAAAGATGGTTAAAAGAAACACAACTCTACCCACCTGCCAAGTTTCATCTGTTTATCTCTTAGATATGTATGGATTTTCATGGAGACAATGGGTAGTTGGAACATGATAAAATGGTCCGTTTTTTTTCCTCCGGTCGGGTTTTCGGTCGTAACTTTTTTGTTTGTGCCCGTATTTTAGTGTAATTTCGCTGAGCTACTAGTGGACGATGACGCGTGAGAAATGTCGCGTGGTTCGTTAAATGGCTTAAGCAAAGTGGCTAAGCCACCCTACTTCTAGTTGGCCTGGCTCAGGAATGACCATTCATAACCCCCACCTGACTATGTCATCCGAAAATTACATCGCTGCGAAGTCGCAGTGACGTAATACGGCCTCCAAAGTATACGGATGGTCGCCAGACAATCATCCGAAATCGAGCAGTCTATTTCTTTCGTTTTCTTGTCGAAACGATACCGATAAAAGAGAGATCACTGACGTTAGTGAGTCGTTACGTTATTACGTTACTGTGATGTCTCAGGGACATAAATTTTGAATGACGTTGTGTTAGGAATACCATAATATGCTATACCTAATGTTTGTGCCACGTCCTCTAGAAGTACTTGCAAACATGGCCCGATTGTTGCCATCAACTTATATTTTGGCCCAATAAAATACTGAGATGTTGACTACTAAACTAGGCATTTTGTAATTTTTCTTTTTAATGCTTCATTATGCACTTCAAATACTGAAATAAATTGAAATATGCTAGTCCAAGCTTCCAATGTTTAACATTCTGACATGATACCGAAACGCCTGCTTGAAATAAAGCCAGGGGACCAATATGTCTTATATATTTTATTTGGTATTGTCCCCAAACTACATTGTCTAACTGCAGGAAACATGCTGGCATGCAAAAGAATTGGACCAACACTGATGCGAATACTGATTCTACTATTTTCAGCTTTGTGCATGTACAAGACATACCGATAATCAATAAATTGTGTACTCAAATTATTGAAAATATTTTACAGTGGCCACAACCGTAATCGAATCCGTTTGAATTCAATTACTTTGCATCGTTCATCCCTTTGAAAGTATTGAGTTTAAACAATACATATATATTTTTAGAAAATAATACATTATGGATGTGGATGTAGATAATAAACCATCAAAACAACACAAAGTAAGAAAAGCTGGCAGGAAAGCAGAAAAAAGGAAACTGAAGGAAGACAACAGCAGAGAGGATGCAACTACTAAAAAGAAAAACCCAAAAGCGTATGCAATCCAAAGTGTTAACAAATTAGCCAAGTCGTTTCATCGGGCACAAGACATCAAAACGAAAAAACATCATATACCTGTCGTTGATAGAACCCCACAGGTGCCACCACCTGTCGTTGTTGCTATAGTTGGTCCACCAAAGGTTGGTAAAACGACTTTGTTACAATGTATTATAAAGAATTATACAAAGCAAAAACTGACTAATATTCAAGGACCAGTCACAGTCGTATCTGGTAAAAATCGTCGACTCACAATTATCGAATGTCCGAACGACATTAGTGCTATGATTGATATTGCAAAAATTGCGGACTTGGTACTTTTACTTGTTGATGCAGGATTTGGATTTGAAATGGAAACTTTTGAATTTTTGAATATCTGCCAAGTGCATGGTATGCCAAAAATAATGGGTGTTTTGACTCATTTGGATGCAATTGACAATGCGAAGAAAATAAAGAAAACAAAAAAATTATTAAAACATAGATTTTGGACTGAAATATACCAAGGTGCCAAGTTGTTTTATTTAAGCAGAATGGTCTATGGTGAATATCAAAAAATGGAAATTCATAATTTATGTCGATTTATCAGCGTAATGAAGTTCAGACCTTTGATATGGAGATCAACACATTCATATTTATTAACTGATAGAATGGAAGACCTAACCGATCCTGAAAAAATTCGACAAGATTCTATTTGTAATCGGAATATATCATTGTATGGTTATGTCCGTGGAATGCCACTAAAAAATCATTCATCAATTCATATTCCTGGTGTCGGGGATCAAATTATTAAAAATATCTCATTTCTTCCGGACCCGTGCCCTTTGCCCGAAAAGGGAGAAAAAAGACAAAGGCGTACTCTGGATGTAAAAGAAAGACTTATTTATGCTCCTATGTCTGGAGTTGGTGGAATTATTTATGATAAGGATGCTGTTTATATTGATGTGCAAAGCTCGACACAAAGGAATAATGGACAAGTCGGTGAAATAGAAACTATTGATAACGAAATAGTAGATGATTCAATGATTGGAACAATGACATTATCAAAACAAACCATTGATCATAAAATGGAAAAAAGTCAATTTTCACTTCTGGAGGGAATGAAACCAATTACGAACAACGAAGCAGAAAGTATGGTTGAAATGCCTATGGAAGAAAAAACATTTGATGTTGAAACAAATCGTGTTAGGAGAAGAGCAGTTTTTTCTATCAAAGATGGTGAACAGCAAGATTCTACATCAAACGATGATGAGGAAGGTTATCAAAGTGGAGATTCCGATGATGAAAGTTGTAACGAATCTGAAAATGAAATAGAAGAACCAAATGGCATTTCTGAAAGTAAATTGAAATGGAAAGAAAATTTGAAATTGAAAGCTCAAAATTTGTACATTCACAGGCAGAAAATGATGAAAAATCTTCCTAAGTTGGTTTATGGTAAAATTGAAATCAAATCAGACACTTCTGAGTCCGAGGAAGATGAAAAAGTCGCTGGTGATTTATTTGTCGTCAAACGGAATATGAAAGCAAAGAAAAATACGAAAGACAATAAAGACTGCAGCATAACTTTGCGGCGACAACATGGGGATGAAAATAGTGAAGATATACGCCGAAGTATCAGTGATTGTTTTGTCACAGGTGATTGGAATCAAGATGAAGACGCCTCTCACTTATTACAAGAGGATGAAAATTTGTATGGTGATTTTGAAGATTTGGAAACAGGACAATCTTTCACATCTGGAGCTAAAGATAATGAAAGTGATTCTGATGATGTTGATACAGTTAGAATTAAGAAACCCGATGACCGTGAAGCTAGATTGAGAGAAAAACGTCTTGCCAGAAAACGAAAAATGAAAGAAATATTTGATCGGGAATATGACGTCAGCCAAGAAAATGGTGAAGTAACAACCGCAAGTGGAAGCCTTTTCGACTCTGTCAAAACTGAACTGGCTGAACAAGCGAAATTGAACCGTGCTGAATTTGAAGATATGGATGACGCAACTAGAGTACAATATGAAGGCTACAGACCCGGAATGTATGTTCGCATTGAACTGCACGATATTCCTTGTGAGTTTGTAAAATATTTCAATCCAACATACCCAGTTATAGCAGGTGGTTTGTTGGCAACTGAAATTCAAACAGGCTTTATCAGAGTTCGAGTTAAAAAACATCGCTGGTATCCGAAAATTTTGAAAACACGTAATCCAATGATATTTTCTATGGGTTGGAGAAGATTTCAATCTTTGCCGATGTATTATATGGAAGATCACAATTTGAGACAGAGATATCTTAAATATACACCACAAAATATGCATTGTTGGGCTGTAATGTGGGGTCCCCTTTGCCCACAAGGTACAGGATTCTTAGCAATCCAAGCTCTTGCAAATAGAGACGTTCCTAATTTTAGAATCACTGCCTCTGGGACTATTTTAGAATCTGATAAAAGTACAAAATTGGTTAAAAAATTGAAGCTTATTGGTTATCCATATAAGATATTTAAAAATACCTGTTTTGTGAAAGGAATGTTCAACTCATCTCTTGAAGTTGCTAAATTTGAGGGAGCAGCCATTCGAACTGTCAGCGGCATACGAGGACAGATAAAAAGAGCGGTTACTGATGGCCCGAACAATAGCGGAGGATCCGAAGCCGGATCTTTCCGAGCATCTTTCGAAGATCGTATATTGATGAGTGACATAGTGTTCTGTCGTACCTGGTGTCCAGTTGATGTTCCAAAATTTTTCTTGAATTGTGCAAATTTAATGTTGCCCGACAAAGATAGTTGGAGTGCAATGAAAACTGTCGGACAACTGCGTCATGAGAAAGATCAGAAATTACAACCGAACGAAGACTCCCTTTATGGACCAATCGAAAGAGAAACTAGGGTTTTCAATCCTGTTGTAATACCCAAAAAATTACAAAAAGAATTACCATATAAAGTAAGACCGAAGTTACGAAGAGAAAAAATAGAAAGCAGACAAGAAGGAATGATGAAAGTTGCGATTGTCAGAGAACCGAAAGATAGAAAAATAGTCGAACTTATGACAGCATTGCGTGCACTTGATCATGACAAAAAGAAAAAGACCAAACAAGAGAAGAGGGTCAAATATCTCAAGCACAGAGAAATGTTAGAAAAAGAGGAAATCAAAAATAAATGGAAACATAAAGAAGCAAAAAGGAAAGCTTACGCAATGCTGAATCAAAAACAGAAGAAGAAAAGATAGGAAATTTAGTTACACTTGAAGAGCTTCTCATTGTATCTTATATGCTAAATTAAAGCATGAAAGCTATTCAGAATTTTCGACTTATAAGGGCATTGACTAAATAGATACCAAATAGAAACAATTTTCTTTTACATTTAATATCATCCAATTGTATTTTCCACTAAGGCAGCCATTGTTATGTTGATTGATCCATAGTAATTTTTTGAAAAGAGAGATATTGCATGAAAGGCAGTGTTTCTATTCTTGCATATTCTTTGAAAATACTTTTAAGGGATTTATTTGTGTTTCTTAGCTAAATTTTTCGAATAATGTTAATTAAATAAACAAACAGTCTACTGTCAGGTAGCTTACACGTCATTTTTTTCTCGTACTGCATCTTGTTTAAAAGACATGTATTTGTGTCAAAACTAAGGTTATCTTAATCATTTGCATACTACTGTACTTGAAATGGTATTGTAATTATTGATGCTATCTTAGACTAATGCTAAATTGTGCTTTCATGTATGTCTTTCTCCCTCCTCTGGATAGGAACAGTCCTATTTTACTAAGTGTCTTATTATTCTCTTTGCCTAGATGATTAACTAATTTCAGGCACATTAAATTAACATTTGAGTACTGATTGGCATGAAGACTGAAGTTGTTTTGTGAATATTACAAACATGGGAAGACGATATTACTGTGAATTCTGTGATCGGGCATTTTTAGACAATCTGAATGCGAGAAAGAAGCATGTTGTGAGCAGTACGCATCAACAGTTGCGGAAGGCCTATTATGACAAATTCAAAACTAAGCAACAAAAGCTGAATGACGAACTTGCAAAGCCACGAATATGCAAATATTTCCAGAATTCAGGGAATTGCCAATTTGGGTCTAGTTGCCGATACCGTCATATTAGCGATGTCGAAATAGAGACAATAAAGAAAGAAATTAATGAAGAATTAAAAAAAGATGAAATGAGCAATAGAACTGTCAAAAACTGGCTTTCTTTAAACAAACAAAAACAAATCAGCAAAGAAAAGCTTGAGAAAACTGGTTGTGCTGCGGTCTCTGAGCGGAAAATCCCTGACATCCCTCAAACATCAACTGTACTCCCAGATTCTTTGAAGCAGTTGCCCTTTCTTCCTTTGTCGATGCAACCACCTCCAGAAGATGATTGGCCACGACTTAATGAGGTTGAATGGGGATGATATGATTGGGACTTTTGACATGGATTTCATGTTGATCATTGGTCCTTTGTAAGGCTTGCATGAATTGTAAAACAGAGGAGACAAAAAGTGGTATCTGTGCTGGCGGTGAATTGATGCTCAATCAAGAATTATTATTAAGGCATTGGATTCTTTGCGATTTCAAGGCAATATAAATTACATTGGTGAAAAACTGTGAATCAGCGTTCTAACTTGAAAAATCTGGAATCATCTTAAATTTGGACATAAATTGGTGCTCCAGAAGTGTGTGTACCAATATGGAAGTAACTTATTTTGTTCGCCTACTTTACATCAGGTTGTGTGAAGGGACTGAAACCTATGGGCAGGGGTTATGGTATATTCACTTGGCTAACAGAGACAGTCCCTGAACTCGTAATAAACCTAAAATAAGGAAAATTCGGAAGGTTATGGCCTTACCCTAACCTGGTACACATACTACGGGAGCACCTATAAATTATTGTTTTGGTCAATGGTACATATGAAATCAGGACAGAGAACTCATCTATGATTATATTTATTGCCCAGGTATTTGTCAAAGTTTATTTTGTAATATAAAATTAAAATAAAGCAGCACAATGTGGGGTGCCGCTAGAGGAACTTTTCAAAGATGTGCGATACCTGTTTTAACAGCATGTACGGTCGAAACAAAAATTAATTCAAGGAATGTTTTAAGACCAGTGTCAAGAACACTTGCTGTAAGTTCATTTCTTTTTTTAAAGGATGTCAGTATTGCTATTGTAAATTCAAGTTGATGGTGTTGAACTCTACTATGTTGGCGTGACAGGTTTTAAATCTTTGATTCCAATACTGTGCCTAGCAGCCCACATCCATTAGGGTAGTTTCATGTCAAACTGGAATAAACCGGCCTTTTCAAGATATATTAGCTCTTCAACGTTGATAAATTTTGATTTAGTGAATTATTTCGTGTAGAATTTGTCTAACAACCAAATTTGTTTCAATGTAGGCATTGGACACTCAAGATAATATATAACAGTAGCTAAAACAGCTATAAACTGTGTGGTTGTTTCTTTCCATTAAGATCAGGGGTTCTCAACCTTTTTTCTGTCAAGTACCCCCTGAGTCACGAAACAATCAATGCGAACCCCCGGTAATCACACATTGAACAAAGTTGTGATATGTTGACTAACGATTTGTTGAAACAACAATTTATTGACCAGATGTAACTAAATTAAATCTTCGTGTTGATATTATTGCCCTTGTCCTCCACCCAACTGATGAATTCTCAAAATCTCTCCCAAGTTTTCACAAGCAGTCTTGTGAACGCTGTCTTATAAGATTTCACAGTTTGCTCGCAAAGCCGTGAATTTCACATTGTCGCGTCACAATCACAACAACGCAACATCAGGGAAAATCTACGTTCCAATTGGCATCTAGTTTCAATCGACAATCGACGCGAACCCCAGGTTGAGAACCCCTGATTTAGATACTTGTAAGTTTGTAACTAAATATTTTCCTCTTCATACGTGCATATAATATATTGGTTGATACTGAAATAATACATCTATTCTGAAATAAAAATAATAATAAAAAATTAATACCTTCAGAAATACATTATATAAGTTCAATGCTTCAAATTTCTTTTTCAGGTATCATCAGTACAATTCAATTCACCGAAACGAGGTTTTCTTGAAAATTTTTTAGATAATCTTAAACAAGAATATAACAAAGACGCAGAATTAAAAGAGAGTATTAAAAAATTTCGAAAGGAAGCACAAGAACTTGAAGATTCAGAGGTAAATGTTTCCTGTGTGCTATAATACCTAGTTCAGATTTTATTGCACCATATCTAATCCTAATTACCGGTTTTCCATCTCTTTGATATATATCTTCTGCGTAGAAGAATGTCTTCAATAATAATGTACCAATGACATCTATTTTTTAATGTAATTTTACAGGCACTTAAAAAAGCAAGACAAAAATATGAGGAGATCAGTCGAGAAACTGGGCAAGGTACAGATGCCGTTCGTGAAACACTTGGAAAAATAAAAAGCAGAGTATCTGAGGTGCTTCTAATTTTAAAATAACAACAAAATATTTGAAATTGTGTTTATAATATTAATTTTAAGTAATTGTTTTAAAGCATTTATAAAAAAGTCATCAAGTTTATAATTGTTATTTTTTTTATGAATATGACAGCAAATTTTAAAAGATTTCCCAGTGGTATAGCTGACCACATCCTTACGTCAATAGCTGGAAAATTCTATGTCATGTAAAATACGCCGCATGAAAAATCACCACGAGCATTTTGCTGCAAAACAAGTATTTCTGATTAAAACAGTTAAGTTTATAGGGTTAGGGTATGCTCTTAAATAAGAATCTTTTTCAAATAAAAAGGTACTTCAAAAATCTAACTGCTTTTATCACAAATACTTGTTTTACAGCAAATGCTCATGCAACGATTTTTCTTATGTGGCGAAATTTTCTGCAGCAAGATTTCCTACGGCGAATTTTCCTAGAACCGTTTCTAATGCTGTTATATCAACCATAAACAGTACTTCAATCAAATTCAAAGACAATTGGACACTAACAGAGATCATTAGTTTTCATGTCATTTCTTAAATTTGTTGATAGGCCAGTGAAGAAATCAGTAAAACAGAATTTGTCAAACAAGCAAGTCGGGTGTCAGAAGGAATCAGTGAAGCTGCAAAATCTGCAACAGATAGTGAAGCTTTCAAAAAAGTAGCCTCGGGTTTCGATAACATCACAAAAGGAACTGGAATTCCACCGTCTTCACTGTATAGACCACCAGGTAAATAATGCTTTTCATTTCGTCGGAATTTAATACAATATAATGAATATTTGAATTCAGAAATAATTTAAAACCTTTTTATTTCAAAATTAGGAATTTCGACGCGCCAGACAAGTAGGGCTGTCCAAGCGAATATTCAAAATCGAATCACAAATTATTCGAATCGTTTTGCGGCTAGTTTGGGAATTACTAAAATGAGGTACCTAAATCGAAAAAAGTCTATCCGCCACCTTTGCACGGCGTTTTTTAGCGGGCAAGCAGTTGCGTACCCGATACTAAGACGACTCTCGGTCGCAATGCCCGGTGTTATGTTATTGTACAATTGAGACAGATATATAGGATTGCGCAATAATATTCGATACTAATCGAAAAAAAATATTCAATTTTGGTCAGCCCTACAGACAAACAGATCAAAACATATGTATCTCAATTAGTAACAAATCCAAATTTATGTCATTTTAGATATGATCAAAATGGAGAAATAATGATTTATGTAATTTTTCCACATGAACTTGCTCCCAATTTGGAATGAATTGTACCGGTATATTCCGTGTTAAGAATATTTTCACAGAATGTATTCCGAATAGTGAAATATTTGATTTTGGACACCCCTGGCTTGGTGTACAAGTTGACAACGTTTTCAATGTATTGCAGCTCTCATCTGGTCACTTGAAATTTATTGCCATTATATGTTGATAACATTTTCTGTCAAAGTTTGTAATGTTTGTAATATATTTGATAAGACAAATGAGCTTGGAATTATTTAGCGAGCATATTGATAAAAATATGGTACTCCTGTAGTGTATGTACCAGGTTAAGGTGAGGCCATAATTTTATTCCGATTTTCCTTATCTTTCTTTATTTCTTTTACGAATTCGGAGACTGTCTGTGTTAGCCAAGCGAATATATCCCCTGCCTATAGGTTTCAACACCTTTACGCAACTTGACGTAAGGTGGGCGAACAAAATTAGTTCCCTCCATATTGGTTCCACACACTTCTGTGGAGCACCAAAAATAATATAATGCAATATAACTTGAGAATTAGAAGTTGTAACTTGTAGTACCTGTGCTGTGCACTTCATTTAGGCTTGGTGAAAAAGACTTACATGTGAAGGTTGCATTTTAAGAGGTTAAAAAGATAATGGGTGTCACTTTATAATCATTGAGTTCCAAGAATCTTAAGAACAGTTAAATGCTCTCCTTGTGATAAGACCTATGAAACACTGGTACTGACATTTCTAGTATGTGCTAAAAAGTTCGAACTAAATAGCGACATTTTCTGAAACGAGTAGCAGATATTTCAAACTTTTATTTTTAAAATCTTCTTCCAGCATCTTTACGAATGCGAAATGAACTTCAAACAAAAATAAACACAGAAGAAATTGAAGCAAATGAAGATGCAACTGGTGTAGTTATGCATAAAGATTCGGTTTGGAATCAACAATGGGAAAACTTTAAGAACAGTAAAGTTGGTGAACGTAAGTAAGCCCTAATAAAATTCTCAAGTATTACAGTGTTGGGTACAAATCTTTGAATGCCAAATCGTTAGTCAAGTTGAGTAACCATGTTTCATCCATTTCGAATTAATTGTTCACTGTACTCCTTAGTCGCCAGCCAAGTTGAGTTCAAAGATTTAATAAACAAAAGTGAAATGGATAAATATGAGTCAAATTGACACTATTACATCCACCGCACATTAGTTAAAAAGTCATAATGTATGGACAGCATTTACCTTGGCAGTAACGTGTCTTGAGTATTTCCACAAACTATCCATGTTGTGAATCATATTTCATCAGTGTTTTTCTCTCTATTTCAAAGACACTGTCAAAATTCTGATCCGTAAACTAGTTTTTCCAGAGGTTTGTCATATTCAAGTTGAGTCTTTTTATGTCGATGACTCAGGTCACTGTCATATAAAAAGGTGTTTTGACTTCAGTCACTGACTCCAGTCTCCCCCAACACTATTAGGTCCATGGTTCTTAGTATAAATTTGTCATCATATTGGCTTTACTCTGCCCGAAGATAATTTTTCCATTATTTGGATTCTAGATTGTCACTGGCATATTTTGTGTTGATGAATATGGCAGTTCATATCTTGTGTAAGTTTATATTAATAATAAAATTTTTATCGATATTTCAAGGGATATCAGATTTAAGAATGAAATATGATGAGAGTGATAACCCGATGATAAGAGCATCACGTTTTATAACAGAAAAAATCGGAGATGTAGCAGGTATAAATCAATACACACTTTCATAATTTTCAAAATCCTGAGTTCTACATTTGAAGGATGTTTCAATGGCTGTGGCAACGAACCCAATCGGCACTATTGGATGTATGTAATGGAATTGTTTCTTCAAACACAGTATGCACATCTTTAATACTGAAACACATATTTTGGGAACTTTTATTGTTGGTATTAGGTCTTAATTTATTAATTTCTTAAATTTCTAAACAGGAGGTGTTTTCGGTAAAACTGATGTCTCTGAAGTGATGACGGAAATTGCGAAAATGGAACCAAATTTTTCAGCACAAAGTTTCTTAAGATTTTGTCGTAAAGAGCTCATTCCTAATATACTTGAAGCTATTTGTCAAAACGAAAAAGAAATCGTTAAAGACTGGTGCACAGAAGCAGTAAGTACTATCCTTTGTCTGCAGGGGTGGGCAAGGTTTTTGTACCAGGGGCCGAGAATTTTGCCCACCTAGACTGCCGGGGCTGTAAGTGTGACGTGAAATGTTACATTTTATGAACAATATTCACAATGTTACAAAAGCAAAAGTGGAAAACAATAAGTCTCGTGCCAAAACTAAACTTGATTGCAATCTCAACAAATTCCTTGAGCTATTTTTAAACTTATTAAACATCAAATATCATCATTTGGTTTTAGTTTGGTTGTGGCAGCATCAGACTGGCCAGATTGAATTACCCATCGAGCCAGAATTGGCGCCATATTTTGCCCATGTCAGTTCTATACTTGATAGATACTTGTTATATTAATATGGTAACATGTGCCTAACTTTGTTCATAAATATTCGATATAAATAATACTTCCAAGTTTAGTAAAATTCACTAATATATCTAAATTGGAATTTACTTTTTAATAAGGTACCGTAATTTTGATAACCTTGTATAACTAATCATGAAAAGTTATTTTTCTGAAATTCCCACCGATTGGCCAAGTTCCTGTATCATATTTATGTTGTGAAGATGCACCGTTTTTAAACTTCAACAAACCGTTTAATACTTATATTAAAATTTAAATAAGTTCGTCATGTTAATTGTAGTAACGATTCAAAATTCTTTTATTTCATATTTTAGCCATATACTCAGTTAATATTCCCGATCACTCAAGCGGAACAACACGGTCTTCGTTATCACTCCAGGGTGATAGATCTTGATCATATCGATATTGCGGCTGCAACAAAGGTACGAGATAAAGCTCGTTTATTACACGATACGTTTATATGCGTGACATTTGTGAGTCTGAATGCTTGTCAAATTATATTTACTAGCTTTCATGTCCTGTTACCAGTCCATGTCGGGTATGGAATTATTTAGCCGATTATTTGTTTTCAGTTGCATGGACTTCATGGTGGAGAAAGTCGTAACAGACCAGCAGTTACGTGAACCACCTTACAGCGGTGAGGTGTCCAGCAATCCTCTCGCACATAATTAACTCTGTACAGAATTCAATCCTACGACTCATGCAGGGTAATCAGAGATACAGTGGCGAGCTTATTCCTAACGCTCAACACGTTGATACTTGAGTGAGAGTGAAAATACAATGTTACCTGTAGTATTTATGAGATAACTGGTCAATTTGTATTGATCCTTCTTTGTCTATTTCTTGTAGAAGTATTATTTTTCTATATCTCAGGTTGATCAGGGTCCTGTACTTGTCATTAGTTTTCAAACACAGCAAATTATTTATGTTCAAAATTCTAGAGGTGAAGTTGTTGAAGGTGATGCGGTAAGTAGTCATTTTTGTTTGTTTCAAAAAACCTAATATATTCAGATGCGTAATATGATCAATACTGTGTAGTTGAAAATATTTGAATTTAGTTTGATTGTTGAGCAATAAGTTTATGTTTGTGATGTTACAGGAACAAGTGATGAGAGTATATCATGTGTGGGCTCTTTGTCGTGACCTAGAAGAGATGAACCCAAGAGCTGCTTGGAGGCTGATCGATCAGTCTATGTCAGCCACCCCAATGTTGCTATAACAAAACTGATTAGGTCGAGATATTGCAATTTCTCAATAATTAGCGAGTGTATTTAAATGTTTAGCCAAGCTTCATTGCAAAATTGTGATAGGCCTAAGCTTCATAACGGATATTTTTTCATGGTGACAGACATCAGTTTTTCTTTAAGTTTCTCTATGCCTTTAACTACCATTTCTATGCTCCTGTATTTGTCCATTATGATCAAATCCTCAATTTAATAATAAAATGGTTCACACCTCGCAAACTGGGAACAGGACAACTTATATTTGCACCGAATTCACTTCTAGTGTATTCTGACAGCATTTATTTCACAAAGCATTCTTCACAGATAATTGAAGAAGGTTGCATACACCAACATAAGTTTTCGTAGTCAAAATTTTGTCTTCCTGGAGCAAGAGTTTTGGGTCGAAAGTTTCATTTACCCGGAATTGTTTTTCTAAATTGATCTGAGTTTGGATTCTGGTGTAAATTTTCCAAGACTAACTCTGTGATGTGTAATATTTAATATCGGTAGCGTTTATGCGTATGAGTAAAACTTCATGCTTATCAAACCGATGAAGAATATATAGGCTTACCATATTTCTGAAGTGGAAAAACGGGGCAGTGCGGATTGGACAAGCCAGTCTGGGTTCGATTACGGAGGCTTAGTAATAGTTTATTTAAACGTTCGTACCATTGTGGGTAGCTTACAGGCATCGAAATTAGCTGTAAATCTTGCTAGAATATCCTATATTGGTCTTTGCTTCAAATTATGGAAATAGCTTAACTCAATAGAAGAGTTGCACTGTTTTCGGAATTTTGTCGATGAACGACAGTACAGCTGGGTGGTAAGTTAACGCATGGTTCAGAATCGTAACAATTTCTCCATCTGAATTAGTGAAGTTAGTTGCAAAAGGCGGTAAATCGGCTGACTCCGTCAAAAAAAATTTGTATTAATATCAAATAAAAAATATTTATGACATTCCTACTGCATAACAAGGACATTTAGATCTACCGATCGGAACGGCGGGATAAGTTTTTTAAATCGGGACGGTGAGCCTACTGTATTTGTATACAATTCTGAGTTATACACTAAAATTAGTTTTACTGATTTACTTCATTGTTAATGTGGCTGCGTTAAGCATAGTTGTAGAGTGTTCACTTCATTGGTATCGCGGGGAACCCTGCGCGGTTTCTAATCCAGTGTGAGGTATATGTAGGAGAGGATTTTGGGTTACGATGTAGCCTACTATCATCTTAATTTTGATCTTCCTGAACTAAGGCGAATTTTGTTGCCAGGGGCGGCGCCAGGAATGTATCCCGCTGGCACACCGACGTAGAGTTCAAGACGTCGGTTCCCCATGTCATTGAAAGACACCTTCCTCTCGGGCGCCCTTTTTCGCGCGGAGAGATCTTTCCCATTTTCGGAGTTTTACTTGCTATTCGTCTTGTTTCCGAAATTTATTTTCTTCACAAAGTGCGCAATGCTCATTTTGTCCCACGAAAACATTTGGGGAGACTGTACTGGTAAAAAATTGGCCCTAAAAGCTTCGATATACTAGATTGAAATTAATTTCAGTACTTATAAATAACAAGTCGGTAAAATATTTTGAATCAAAATGCTAGTTATAAAGACATAAACATGAGCACAAGTTTGTAATCGTTAAAACGCTTGAGGTTGTATAATGTATATTGTATACATAGCAGTATTTCCCGAAACCAAAATTAGGGATACTGTTAAGGTGGGTAAACTGAAAGAGACTAGCACACATTTTCCGATTGTGACAAGTACACTGGCCCTGGATGCATCAGAAGTAAATCTGATTTGGTTTGACAAGCAGTTCCCAGAGTGGGCCGTGGTTTACGTTTATTGACGCGTTTTTTTTTACCATAAGCTCTATATAGCCTATATTATGTCGTCCGAAGCGAAAATATGAGGATGCACTGTGCAATTTATTGGCAAAAATATTTCCGGTCACCGTATTATTTTTTGCCTGAATTCATCAAGTATATATATATATCCTATTCCACTCTGAGGTATAGAATAGCTTTGCAAAGAAACCGCATTAAACTATTTCACTCGCGTTTTGATACTGTTGTTGAATTCTTGCAAACCTGCGATGTTATAGTAATATGATGAATGATATTCGGAGACATATTTTTCAAATTTAACTTATCCCTCCAGAGAGACAAAACCAATCTGATAAAACTTTTTCTTATTTATTGATTACCTATTTATCATCTTTACAAAAGCGGAATCGACACTGCTCGGGTTCGTGTTGTATCAAGGTAATTGGAATGGACGAGAATTTTTTTTAATTCTCAAGCTTGCAACAACTTGATCCCGGAATTACATAATGATATGGAAGTTCGTTTCAAAGATGTATTTCAATCGGAGATTTCGGAATGGATAATTGACCCATTCATTAATATTCACGGACATGAAATTCTTGGAAATGGGACGTATCACATTGCAAGGCGATTATACTCTAACTCAGTGGTTCCCAAACTTTTTTTTTCGCGACCCCAATTTTCATAAAACCAAAGGCTACAGATACTCGCGACCCCGCTACTAAAAACGTTCAGCAACTTCAAAAATCAGTATATATATCAGTTCAGTTACCTCAATGGGAACAATGTACCTGTATATCGCTTGCAAGTGGACGCTGACGGTAATTATTGTCCCAAAAATATATGAACGAGTGTCCAATGAGCCGGAATAACGGGAAAACTTCAGAAGATTTGGTAACACAGCGCATGACATCGTATGAAAACCACAGTGTAAAAATCTCCTAGATTAGAATTATAACTAGGCTTACCATACGTCCCGGTTTAGCCGGGACAGTCCCGGATTTGACAAGCTGTCCCGGCCGGTTGACTCAAATGTCCCGGTTTGTCAGCACGGTTTTCATGGGTAAAAAATTCAAATTCATTAATATCACAAATTTTTTTTAACGGTGACAGCCCATTTACCGCTGTTTTGCGACACACTTTGCTAGTCCAGAGAGAGAAATCGCTCTATTGTTATGTCACAATTGGTATATGTTTTAATGCGTTTTCTGGCGTTAACTGCAATGTCGTTAAGTTGTCGAAATGCCAAAAAGAAAGTACAAGTTTTCTGATGAGTTGAAGAAAGATTTACCTTATTTGAAGCAAACTGAAGGAGGAAAGGTACACTGTACGCATTGCAGATCTGTTTTTCTATTAGTCATGGCGGACGTTCAGATGTCAACGATCATATCCAAAGCAGGAAGCACAAAACAATAACATTGAAGCATCGACTCGACTGACCAATTTTGCGATAACAAATTCGGATGATTCTGTGTCGTTGGCAGCCGACATTTACCTATCACACTGCTATTCATGACCAAAGTTTTGACTGCACCTCTAAATTAATTTCAAATTTTTTTGAGGTCAAATTTGCATTAACTTGTAAATATACACAGTTAGAATTTCTGATGTCCGCTGTTTGATAAGCGGATTCGCTGATTTTGCACGTTTAGCCAGAAATAAATGAGAGTTGGTGCATTGCTCCGTTGTTCTCCTCTGAATTTAATGATGATTTACTTCAAGCTCGAATGGCAACAAAACGCAGAAAAGTTGATGCTAAGTGCAAAGGGTTCATCAATGGCGCTGAAAATATTCAAACGGAATTTTTTGAGATGCAATGAGGAAATAAATCTATATTCTATTCGAGAGATGTATCACTGCTTGATTTTTAATAGAAAACTATCATCCGTTCAGTTTCAACTTTCTAAAAATATCTGCGGCCCGCCAATGACTCGCAACCCTTAATTTTGGCCCGCGGGCGACAAAAGGTTGCCGACCCCTGCCGTAGATGTTGCAAATATTCTGTCAGAGGTGAAGCTAAATTTGCAGGGAAAAAATTTGTATTGTCCAGTTTGTAAAAAAATTAGATAGACAACTTCTTTTAACTCCCAACACGGAAAGTAAAAATGAAACTTTGCTCCCTTTTATTACAACCTATCATCCAACCTTACCAAATGTTCGAAAAATCTTTTCCGACTACCAATACATTTTAAACAATAACGAGAGATTGAAAGAAATTTTTCCAAATCCACCCAAATTAGCTCACCGAAAATGTCCCACACTCAGAGATAGGCTAGTCAGAGCCAAATTAAAGCCAAAATCACCCATCAGCAACAATCCAGGTTTTTTTAAATGTGGAAGACAGTCATGCAGTACCTGCGAACATTCTGATGAAACGAAAGTAGCGACAAACAAACAAAAAACTATTCAACTAAAAATTACTCAAAAAATAACGTGCAATACGGAAAACGTCGTCTACTTGATAAGCTGTAAAAAATGTGGCATGCAGTACATTGGCGAAACAGGGAGGCATCTGAAATATCGTATTTCAGAACACATTAGAAGTATAAAATCAAAAAACAGAGACCTGGTCGTCGGTGCTCACTTTAACCAACCTGGACATTCACTGAAAGACTTTAATGTAATTGGAATTGAAAAACTGGTTCAAAACCATATTTACCGAAAAACTAAAGAATCATATTTCATTCACCTACTTGGAACGCATGAACCATTGGGAATGAACATTAAAGAAGTTTAGGGCATTTAGGAACATTTTATACACCGTATATTTTCGTAATTTTACCGAATTTTTTATTAATTTTTTTTTTTTTTATTATTTTTTTGTTTATTTATTTTTATTTTTATTTTCCCCCATGTATTTTTTTAGTGCAGGTAATTAAAATACAATCACCAATTTATTCATCTTTCAAATCCCATTGTTGTGATTTGTTATGTTGCCATGACACCCATTTTATGAATGTGCATGGGACTTTCATGTGTTTTTTAATTTTGAATATTTAAACTTAGTGTTGTTAATTAAATTTTCAATCACCACCTACATGAGTTTGTTAACTCACATTGTTATGATATTGTTTTGTTGCCATGGCACCCATTGTATAAATATGCTTGCAATTGCTGTTCTTGCTTTAGTTGAAATATGTATGTCTGAGGAAGTTTGACCGTGGTCAGACGAAACGTTACAGAAATATATTTGTGTTAGTGTGCAGCAAGACTATTTATTGAATTATTTAAAAAGAATGTTTGCGATTTTTACGAGAAATGTCTATCGTATATAGAGCTGCACGATGAAGCCTACAATGCCGCCAGGCCACACATATGGACAAATTTGAAGAGTGAAATAAACTGGACTGAAGTGTTTGGTCTGCAAAACTGATAAATGATATATTTGGTTAGCTGATCAGATTTTGAATAGCGATGCACTTTTACGAAAACTGATAAAGAGATATTTATCTGAGCATGGTTCAAATGCAATTTGACTTACTTTGCCGGTTGAAATTAAGTGGACAAAGATGTTTAACGTTTTTTCTAACAGAAATATTAGCATTTCGAATTTGCAGCAAATTGGTTGATTTTGTTTTTCGGAACATCGGCATCTGTTAAAAGGATTTTTTCCATTGTTAAAAAATTTTGGTCCGAAAGCAGGTGCAGAATGCCAGAAGAAAATATAAAACCACTCCGTAACCTGCAAATTTAATGGTGATGTCTCTTGTTATCAGTTTTATGACAAAATCAAAACAAGAATTTTTGAGAAAGGTTCCATCTGCGGACAAATACTTTTGGTCTAAATGAATAATACAAACTAATTTTTTGTGTTTTTTCTAATTCAATGATCAGTAGAGATTTAAAGCCCTATATACCCGCAATGGCATGGTAGACGTTCCAATATTATCAAGACTGGCAATCGACCAAATGTTCGCCAAATCGCACCGTCCCGGTTTTTTGATTCAGATTTATGGTAAGCCTAATTATAACGGTTTATTGGCTAAACATATACGGACTTGATAAAATGTTGTAGATTGTAAGAAAGCGTACGATACTAGTAAAATTGCTTCTAAATATATATACATAAATTTAAAATCTTATTTAGTATCTTTCTTCTTTTTAGTTCAATGTTCACATGTTATAGATTTCTCCACTATCAATTCGAAAGTGAAACAGAGCATCAAAGTAAAATATGGAGAAACGTGTACGGAATCACATCATTCAAGTGCTTTTCACCTTTCATTATGCTAGAACTTGTGGTTTTGTGTTTGACTGCTCGAAACGATTCAAAAGTAGCCTACTCGTAGATTTTAGACACGTGCGCGATTTAAGCGCTTTCGCAACTGATCGAAACCTAAAGTGTGATTTCTCAGCCAAGACACCGCATGGCAATCAGTGGCATATATATATACTTGTCAAACTCCAAATGAAGCGAATTTTCTTTGTATACTCGATAACCAAGCAGCTACACTGGTACAAAATAACAAACCAACATAATTTCTCGCAGCCATGAATGAAAAGATACTCATCGCAGGACTAAGGTCAATTACTCATTCTGATGTAACATGATAAAAACAAGTTATAAAAATGGAAATGTTATTGGCGCTCGGAACACTCTCAATCAATTGCATATAGCCTACTAATACCAGTACTCGCCAACAAGCTGGGAAGTTTAAGTTACGACCACGTGAATGTTTTACCGAGCAATTTTGACACCGTTTGGACAATAAATGGTCGAGTTATTGCTGAAAATAAGTCCATTTTGTCCGAAGTCAGGCATTTTTTTGGTACTTGTCGACCAGCACAAATTTCACTTTCCAACTTCCCTAGTCACTGATATGCGCATGTTTGACAGAAATTAGGCGCCCAGGAAAATCTTCACGCGACCCCACACTTTTCTACTAGTATACGACCCTTTATGGTTGTAAATTTTATTTCAAAAATATGGAGCATATCGAAATCGTTCAAAGTTACAGTAATGATACAACAAAAAATCCAATTTTTGTTCAGGTAGGTCTTCATCAGCCAAGCTGTTATAAAACCATGTAAGCTGTGAATTTTAATAATTTCTGTCAACTTTCAATTGAACACAGTAAATAGTACTTTGTTGCGTTAAAGCTGAAACGGCATTATAGGAATGTCGTCGGCTCCATTCGACTGTTTAGCGTTGAATGTGGATGTATCGTCTCGCTTTCCTTTACCTCAGTAATAGGTTCAATATATTTGAAGTCAGTATATACGTTTTCGTCATCTCCATATTGGAAGGTACTGAATCCTTCTTCAAAATTTTTTGCTAAGTCTTTAACTGATTTTTTTCTTCGACCTGGTGGAATTTCATTAATTTGTTCTTCCAGACTCCTCCGACGTTGCGAGTGGCGTATATTGGCTGCTAATTGTGACTTGCTTTTGGGCTCTTTTAGTGTTTGACGCGTTTCACCATTACTGGCTATTGTGTCATTTAAATTACATTGCCGTCCTCTCCCTTTTCGTTTTGATTCTCCCCTGGTACCATCGTCATTTTCACGTGTTTTTGTTATCTCTTTGCGTCGATTTCGTTCATTCCTAACATCCGAAATCTGATGATTTGACCCTCTGGGAACTCGAGGCTTAGGAACTGGCAATTCTGATTGAACTGGGCTAATTTCTGAGTCATCAACAGTCTGTTTTTCTATCATATTTTGCATTGCCTTCAAGGAGGACCGTGAGGTTGACCTCCTTTTAGACTTCACTTTGTTTGGTCTTTGTTTATCCTTGTATATTCGTGGTTCTATTTTGTTCATTGCGTTTGTATGAATATCTAGTCCTTGAGATATATCTAAAGCAGAAGGATTTCTTACTTAGTGAAAAATTCAATATTATTTAAGCATTAATGCAATCGTAACTTTTTTCGCATTTCAGGATTTATTACCACCGTTCTTTTGCATTTGTTAACTATAAAATAGCTCTCGCGTGTACACGCGACCCTTATACCTGTCATCTCCTCCAAATCTGGCGACGTCTGAGTATCCTCTACGAGTTGATAAGGTGGAGGAGGACCTGATCGAATAAACAAGAATTTAATATTAAAAATACGTCTGCATGATTTGGGTTACTGAAGCAAGTATGTTTGGTACCTGTGTCATTCGATTCAACTGATACGTTTCTAGCCTCTCCTACTTCTGCTTGAATAAAAGCATTATTGTCTTCCCCATATTCAGCCCGTTCCAACATCAGACGAGCTTTGCTCATTTTCTATCGAATAGCAAAAAATACTTTAAGAATATTTATCCAAATGTTCGGGCGAAAGTTTTAGATAAATAAATTACCTTTGACGTATACGTGTGAACTTTTTCTTTTCCAGTGTCTACATCAACGGTTACTATTCCTCCAAGCGTTCGAATATCGGTTCTGAGTGAATAAAATGAACTTTGAAATCAAAAAATGATTAGAATGATATGTAAATATGCCATTTTTGTGAGGCTTCGATACTTATAAATAATGTCTGAGGAAGTCTGACTTTGATGAGACGAAACGTTACATAAACATATTTGTGTTAGTGTGCAGCGAGTCTCTTGTATCAATTATAGAATAACGTTTAACTTGTGTTCATTACAACTTCATCATACTTGCTCTTTCTGTCGCATTCCAAACTTATTTCCCCTTTTTCTTCATCCACATTTTGGATTTCCATAGAGTTCTTTTTTGTGGTCGAATCACTATTATTTGGCTTGCGTCTCCTGCTAAAAAGTTTTTTACGCCTGGCATACTCTGCAACTGCGATAAAAGCCAATAATGCCACGACCCCAGCACATACTCCAGATATCAGCGGTCCGAACAGGAATTGGACGGCAGCAGAGGTGTCATCTGCTGGGCCAATATCACCCGCGTTAAGAGATAGCAACTTCTTGACAGAATCTACAACAAATATGCATTACATTATTTTTCATATATACAACATTTAGTTTAGATTACTATGGATGAAGTTTACTACATCTTTTTAAGAGGTCTCTTCTTTTTTATTTTACCCTATAGTCATTCGTCCGTGGATGGATCAATAGATATCCACAATTTTGAAGTATTATATCGGATTTTACAACCGTTATAAATCGCATTATTACATTTCCTTTTATAATGCACACGCCAACGGCATAATGAGCATCTAATTGTCACTTTCACTAACGCGGTCATTGATGTATTGCCCATTAATTTTATGTTTGTTCCCGTAGCGAATCTTCTAACGAAATAATCCCCGCAGGATATTTGCTCAATGTTGAAATATTTGCTTACGTTTAAGAGATCAATTACAGTAATTATGTGATTTATCATTTTTAAAGATGAATCTGATCGTAAAACAGTACATTCTATAGTAGTTCTCAACCTGCAATGTTATATGTATAAACAAATAAGATTTACCCGGACATCGAGTTGCATTGCAGTATTCAACGAACTGTTCACCGCCAACAAAACACCATAAACCCTTTTCGTCATTGTCCGGATTTCGACAGTAATTATGAACCCCTATTCCAAGTTCTCCCAATTTGAACCTCAGGTTTTCATCAGTCGTCCAGGGTTGACAAATAGTTCCAGTTTTCGTCAAACTTAATTTTCCCCGATAGTTGAGTCCATTGTCAAAAAAGCAGTAATGATTGTCTGTATGTATGGAAAACGATAAAATTGATGTTCAAATTATTTTTATGTCACTATAAATTTAATATTTCAGTTTTATGACTTTAATTGTTTTCTTTTTGACTAACATAACTGCCAAAGTAATCTCGTTATCTGATACGAAAAGTGAATGCCGTGTGAAATTATTTTACAAATCCTACGCCAAACATTGCATTTATTCCCGATCCAACCCAAGGTGCAAGCACAACTTCGTAATTTTTTATTCCAAATTCCTCCATTTTCACACTTGATTATTTCATCTTCTTTGTCATCAGTTTTCTGTTCTCTTTTGACACGTCGGTTACTTTGAGTATATTTGAAACTTCTATGATCCAATGAAACGATGGCAAAAAGGACAAAACTGAAGATGCTGCATTGAAAATGGAAGTTATAAAGATTGCTAAATGTGTGTATGAAAAACGCATTGCTTGTGGAAGATATAAATTAACTCAATACTCACCAGATGCAAAATTTCATGATAAGTTTTCTTCTCTCAACTTTCCGCTTTTCCATATTCCATTTATTAGAGTTCATAATTTTTCTTTTTGAGGTTTTATTCTAATGTAGTTATCTCTATAGACATATTTCAGTCTAAAAATACATTGAAGCATCCCTATATATGTATATATATGAATATTTTAAATATTCATGCGTTTACTCAACGACTAATAATCCTATTCAGGAGATCTACTCTCAAGTCGGTGTGCTTCAGAAATGGGGTATCATATATTGTAATTCACGTCTGTCCTTTCCTCTCCAGACTTATAACTCTGAAATGCACTTGTGATATATTTCTAACCAGCCTAGCAGTCACCTCCACTTAAGCATAATCCTTAAACTATTCAAAATCACAGTATTAATTTTGAAAATCTGCTTTTAATCTTCAACGTTGCAACGTTAACTTGCGAAAAACATGCTTAACTCAGCCCGTTTCTTTGTGACAATAAAACAAATTGGTAATTTAAAACTAGGCTATATAATTTCCATCAGGTGCTCAGTTCATACCCCGAGGCTACATTTTATTTTCGGTCGTCTGTCAGGTTTCTAGTGCCCTTTGCACTTGCACTGCCAGGAAACAGATATCACAACTGTATGTAGGGTTCTGTTTTTATCAATTCTAATAAAAACTGTCTGTGTTAAAACAAGAGCTTGTATCTTTTGTATTGTTTTATTGAAAGACCCCTTGCATTGCCGTGAAATAACGCCAAAATGTTGCGTATGTTCTGACAGCTGCTTACGCTGCCGGAATCGTAATTTTAAAAATATAAAAAAAATTAATGCTTGAACTTTTCACTTTTATCACGTAACTTTATCGCCAAGTTAGTACCTACACCACAGTCATAGGATTTTAACAAGAATGTTTATCCGATATATCAGGGAGACGTTTAGAGTAAGAAACGGCAGGAAAAATCATGAAAAATAGCCCATGACCTTACTAAAAAAAATTCATTAAAATAAAGGCTTCATTACGGTAAGGACTGTTCAGTTAGTTTAAATTACCATACTTTGTTTTTAAAGTTAACGGGATAGAGTTCAAAGTTATAGAAATTCTTTTATTCGGTCGTATTTTAATCTTTTTCATCTTTCAAACGATAAATATTTGGAAATATCAACCTGAACAAAAAATACGAGATCTATAAAGTTTTAAACTGACATCATTCTGGAACGAGCCTTCATAGTTTAAAAACAATTTAAAATTGGTTGCCAAGGCCCTCGTGGTTTGAGATTCTAGGTTTATTGAGATTCCTACCTTGCCAAACAGTATATATAATAGACCCTGGTTCGAATCTCATGAGTGATGTGACAATGTGCAAGATGATTGCTGGACTCCTCGCCGTCGCACGGTGGTTCGCGTAATGGATAATCGTCTGCGTCTTCCTCCGCCAACCACTGTGCGGGGCTGCGGGCGCATTGCGCTACAGATTGAGAAGGCGAATATGGGCAAGTCATCAATATTTGTGCCGTTTGGAAGGGTTTATTGCGAATAAGAAGCGATTGGCAAGTTTGTACATCCATTTTCGTGTTTTTGTTTAGACCTATTTAACATAAAAAAATCAAATAATACAGCCATTCAAAAATACAGCCAAAAAACTTGATTTAAAACAATTGTTTTAAAACAATTCCCTTTGAACAAATTCCCAACCGCGTGGCAAAATTTCTATTACTTTTAAATCAATTATAACGTATATACATTTTCCCAATCAGAAAAATTTGAAATATTTGCTCTTGTATTGAAATGTATCGTTTGTAACAGCATTGTCGCCTGTCGTTGGCAGAATGGCGGCAGACCATGGTCGCACGATGGTGATAAAGTATTGCTGAAAAACGGTCAATATTTTCGTGCATAAATCTTCATCAACTAACTGGTGCCTTGAAGATTTGTTAATAAATCTTTGCGCTGCTGCTTAAAAGATTTTGAATAGTATAGTTGCGGAGTTTAACGCACTGGCTTTTCACAAAAAATATCCTCAATATCTTAGTTTCCAAGAATACTTCTGAGGAATTATAATTTCCCAGAAACATATCTCGGAACCATACCGAGAAAGTCAATATATCAAATGTAAAGTATATATATATATATATAAATAAATATTAACTACTTGGGTTCATTATGGAACCGATTTGTACCAACTCCAGAATCTTATATAGCAATGCTGCTCAACTGGTGTACTGCGGTCTGAATTTCAAGCATTCAATTAGGACCGCATCTGTTATGTTAATTAAGGAGCATTGGCCACGTTGAGTTTGAGTTTTTTTGAAACTTTATAGTTTTATAGTATTTGTATCCTTTGATCATATATGCACTCAACTATTTATAAACAAAAAGAATCGTGAATCCAAAATGATGGTATCACGAATAACCAACCCTGTCTTGATTATCAAAAAATTACCTGGCAGAGAGCTACAATGTCCATAGAAGGTTGTCGAATATTTCAATTTCCTCAGATATCACAATTCGTTTTTCTGTTAATTTTCAACCCCAAAGCATTGAAATATATTTAGAGTCACTAAGAAATATATATATTTGAAATGACATGACCCCGATAATTTTGAAGTTTTGCTAACGATACTTTGAGGGAAATAGTCGCATATCCATGTTATATAACATAAAATCTCAAGGTATTAGCTAGCTTCACAACAGATTAGGAAAAATAGAAATTGTAGCTTCGTGCCACGCTAGTTTGTTCCCAATTTTTTCTCGAATATTTCTGCTTGCTTTTCTGTCGATAGTTTTTTCCGCCAGAAATATATTTAGAGTCACTAAGAAATATATATATTTGAAATGACATGACCCCGATAATTTTGAAGTTTTGCTAACGATACTTTGAGGGAAATAGTCGCATATCCATGTTATATAACATAAAATCTCAAGGTATTAGCTAGCTTCACAACAGATTAGGAAAAATAGAAATTGTAGCTTCGTGCCACGCTAGTTTGTTCCCAATTTTTTCTCGAATATTTCTGCTTGCTTTTCTGTCGATAGTTTTTTCCGCCAAATCTGTAAACACATCAAGGAAGATATTATCAACGAAGATAACTATAGACAAAATAAACACCTAATAAAGATATAGCCTACATTCAAATATTTTGATAACAACTCCAACTTAAATTTATATCGAGAATCTACGCAACGTTAATGAGTAATTTGTGCAGGAACAATGAGTATGATTTCATTTCATTATATAAAATAGTATTGAACAGGTGAGGTGATTAAGCATACTATATATATAAGCATAAGCTGGCATAAAAATTTCAGACAGAAATTCTCAGTAACATGAATAAAACGCGTAACTTTAAAAACTCATAGACAATTTCATAGACCATTTGAATTTTATATGTTTCTACCGTTCAATCTGTTTCAATGGCCAAACCTGCCCTTATATTATCAATATATATGCAAGAAGATAAGCTTTCGTTGAATGTTATAAATTACTGACCATACTAATATTCGATAGATTAGTTATCTTGGCTCCGTTTTGATAAACTCCTCTATTTATTAGTCACATTTTTAACCATTTCGATAAACAAGAAACGCTTTCGTGCAAGTAAATACAAACTTGCAAGTTGATAGTCTCAAGTATGTAATGTTTATTAAGATTTGAGATGAATTGTCAAGAGCGTAGCCAGCCCAAAACTTTGAGGGGAAAACTTCCTTTGCAAATGACGTAATACGACGCTTACTCGTGATTTTTGCTCCGGAAAAAAGCCAGATAAAAGCATCCACGGATATCTAACAATATCTGAACGAATTTCTCTGCAGACGTACTTTGTTATCGAAGATATCTTTTTCATCTATCTCATTTGGTGAAATTATTATTGAAAGCAAGACAGGAAACGTTCGGTTTTGAGTAAATCGTGCCACAATAGAGCAAAATGGTATTGGAAAAGGCGTAAGAATGTATGTCTCACTTCAAATGTCGCAAAATTGCATATCATGGCGCTTCAGGCCCTCTTGTCTACGCTTTTGTGAATATAAAAATATTGACATTTATGTGCTGGAACATTGCTCCAAACTAAGAAAAAACGCCCTGATGTGTTTTGAGTTCCTATTCTAACTTGATTGTTTCTGTTTGTAAGGTAGCTAGCACACTGAGCACAGCCATTAGAGTTTCAAATCCTATTATAGATTTTGCTCGCTTACCTGGTTGCACTCTCTCTACTGTTTGTTGCATTCGAATCAAAATAGATTTACCCATTTATTAACAAACTTCATTCAGTCGCTGAGTATATTCCAAATATCACTGTTTAGCTTATGATATTTTTGTGATCACCTAGTCCAGTGATTCCCAAAGTGGGCGATATCTCCCCCCGGTAGGCGAAAACGACACAGAGGGGGGGCGAAAAAGTCGAATGGGGGCGATTTCGCGAAACGTGTATTTGTTCAGCACATCGTGCACTTGATTACTGTACTCTGCGTCCTTCATAGGTTTGATTCACGTAGACGATTATCACACGCGAAAGGATTGCTGGACTGGTATCCGCAGTAAGGTACGGTAGTTTGCGAAACCCAGTGGTCGGCAAAATACGGCCGAAGTAAAATAATCTGGCCCGGGACGCTTCACTGAATGGGCTTTTCCGCGACCTTTGACCCTGGGAAATTTTCTCTATACTTTCCAATTTTCAAAGTTTCGGTGCTTATTTTAAGATTGGTTTCGCGAGTTGTCGCCTGTAACATGAGGTTTTTGTTTCAAACTATCATTCTAATTCATACCATTCAACAATCTGTTTTTTAAAGTACCGGTAAAGAATTTTAGTCTAGTCTATCACAGCTATTTCTACACTAATTTTTGATTACTGGAATTAAACTGAAACTCCTAGGAAAACAGAGTGATCATTGAATTACCTGCTTTATATTTAAATTTCCGAAACACAACACAACACAACGCGAAAATGAGGTGTATTGTGTGCGACTACGCCTGAAAATCTGTCTGAGTGAGAAAAGTGTCTGAGCGGATGCGAAAGGGGGCATTGTTACCGTAAGTTTAATTCTGCATCTTGCTGATTGGCCAATGTCACGAAGTAAACATGGAAGTCTATGCCCGGGGAAACATCCATTATACAGACAAAACTCCGGTTTTGACGATGAATTAATTTTTATTTATAATCTACGCTCGAAGAGTGAATCAGTGAATTTTTGTAAGAATGTATCTCCTTAAAGAAAATCTCTAGCAAAATTTCACAAACCATGCGAAAATATTCACTTCGATGTCCGGAGGTACATATTTGTGCAAACAATTATTTTGGAAATTATTACATTACAGAGAACAAGCAAAGAACTAGGATTAGTGATGCCCATTTAGAAAATGTTCCAATCTTAGCGTCGTAAAGCTATCAAGCGTGATGCAGCAACAAGACAGTGTCACACTAAATGTCATTGTAATCATTTTTTAATAAGACGACTGAGTTGAGTTCATGAGCTGTCGTGTCGCA